TCGAGTGCCCCGTTATCATCTCTTATCACCTCTCAGACCAATCGCTGCTAGATCAAATTTGGCTTAGTTGTGGTTATCAGTTAAATCTACGACCTTGAAGAAGAGCTCAAATCTGTGGAATTCACTATCAAGCGATGAAGTACATGGCTCTAGAGAAGATCATAAAAGAAACTTTCAACAGCCTCTGGAAGAAGCTTATCGTCGAAACACGAGACGCACCAGTAAAGAGCAGAACCTCTACATCCATAGATGTACCGAATATCACCTGGGACTTAAGCCCTGAGAAGCTGCCACCGATGCATTGTCCCTCACTACAAGCTGGAATGATGTAAAAAAGGAACCAAAATTGACTCAAAGTTGTTAATACATATCTCAACACCAAGACCTGGAATCATCTATACAGTACAGAGTCCCGTCGTTTCAATGCAATCGACCGGATACTAAAATAGCAAAATGCAATCAGAAGACAGAAGACACAAGACGTATCGCCTACTTCTTCTGCCCCTCACCACCAGGAGCTAGACCCGTAAACGGATCAAGACGCAGCTCCTGAGCTGTGATAGGAGTGTAAGAAGTCCGACCCTCCTGTGCCATCTTCAACCGACGCAACTGACCCGCCTCACCAGCGCGACCAAGGATTCCCGCAATAAGACAAGTAGCCCGCAGACTATCGTCGTTCGAGGGAATCGGGTAGGTAACACGCGTAGGATCCGCATCGGTATCAATAACACCGATAGTTGGAACATTGTTAAGCCCACACTCATGCAGCAAGACAACATTCTCAAGCGGGTTAAGACAAATCACCAAATCGGGCTTAAGCGACGGGCGATCAGCAAGATCGGACTTGAAGTTAGGCAATTCCTCGTCCAGCGCGTTAACAACCTTCGTCTCACAATGGCCGAGAATCTGCTCGCCGTTCGTCAGAGAGCCCGGAATCCACCGCTCGAAGATGTGGTAGCCCTTTGCCAGCGACGCCGCCTTGACAACGGCCCGCTTCTGGCCCTTCCGCGTGCCGGCGAAGAGGATTAGTCCGCCGCGTGCGGCGACTTCCTCAACTACTTTTGCGGCGCGGCGGAGGTGCGCGGCGGTTACGTCCAGCGAGATAATGTGCACTCCCTCGCGGATACCGAAGATGTATCGCGAGTTCTGTGGGTTCCAGCGCGAGGTCGAGTGGCCCAGGTGTGTTCCTGCTGCGAGCAGCATTTCCAAGGAGATCTGGGATGGCTTGGGGGGGTTGCGGATGACATCTTCGGGGTCGTAGGAGGATTTCACGCTTGTGCCGAGTTTTTTGAAACGGCTTCCTGGGGAAAGAAAAGAAAGATAACGTTAGTTGACGTTTTGGAGGAATCTCCGAGAAGGAATTCGCGGCTCACTTGGCGGCTCGTCTGATGTGAATTCTTGTTGTGCGGGTGTGCTGGCCTCGGACTGTGCCTGCACCATCTCAAAGAGGGGGTTTTCTGAGCGAGAGATTTCATCTCTGATCGGTGTCTGCAACGTCTCGACTGGGGTTTCGGGCAACGTCGATTGGAAACGACTCGAAATCGGTGCTCGTCGGCTCAGAGCAAGGAGCTGGCGGCCTGTGGGATGTTGTTAGCAGGGACATTCAATGTGATAGCAAATTGGGCCACACTTACTCTGGCGCATACAAAGCTTCCGTATAATCATTTTGGGAATACTAAATGGCAGATATGTCTGACAAGGAGATTACTGGGGACTCGTCCGCTCGAACTTTTGTCGGGCTTGGCATTTGATGCCTGAGGCCTGAAACTATTCCACTTAGGGTGTTTACTCTCCGCCTCCTTATCACAAGACTGCAGTGTCTATTCTCATTATGGTTTACCGTTTACTGTTATTTACTGTTTTCTACAAGGAATGGTTCAGCAAGGTAATCACGTTGCAATTCTGAAAATTATGGTCATTTCCGATATCAACGCAGTTCTGTCATGGTACAAGCCGCTTGAGGGCGAAGAAAACAACCCCATGAAAAAGCAAAGCGATCTGGTGGAAGGAAAAAGGAATGCATGCCGACCCATTGTGATAATAATAGCAAAGAAAGAAATTCATGAAAACCGTGTCATCAGGCAGAAAACGCAAGAGGAAAGTCCATCAGAAACCTTCTACTTCTTGAAGAAGCCACCAAGCTGGTCCATCATGGAGCCGCCGCTGCCACTGTTGGAAGGAGGGGGGCCACCGTACTGAGGGGGAGCTTGGTTGTCGGAGTTGCGGTGCTTTTTGACAGCATCTTCAGCGATGCTACCAATGATGGCTCCGCCGATTGTTCCGAGGAAACCGTGGTTAACCTTGTGGCCTGCGAAGCCACCGGCGGCACCACCTGCGAGGGCACCGGCAAGACCACGCTCGCCTTCCTGGGCCTCACCGGGGGCACCCTGCTGCTGCTCGTAGCCACTATGGCCTGTCAGTACATGACGAACGAAGTGAAAGGTGAGGGAAGTACATACCCCTGATGGCTCTGGTCGTGCTGGCCGTACCCGTGCTGCTGGTGTTGCTGGCCGGCGTAGTAGTCAGAAGAGCCACCCTGCTGCTGACCGTAGCCCTGCTGCTGGTGTTGCTGGCCGGCGTAGTAGTCGGAAGAACCGCCCTGCTGGCCATAGCCTTGCTGGCCGTAGCCCTGTTGGGGCTGACCATACTGTTGCTGTTGGTCGTAACCCTGGTGGCCACCGTATCCTTGCTGCTGGCCGTAACCTTGCTGGCCATAACCTTGTTGGCCATAACCTTGCTGGCCGTAGCCCTGGTTGTACTGGTCGTAGCCGGACATGATGTAATTTGAATTGGATTGATGGAAAATTGATGGAAGATGGAAGGTGTAGTAGTTTAAGGTGAGGAGTAAGTGATGAAGAGAAGTTAAGTTGAGGGGGTCAACCTTTTATAACAGGTGACTCCAAGTTACCACAGGGCTGACGGTAAGAACCCCACATGGGAAGCGAAAACTTACGGAACGAGGGGCGCAGCGTTTGGTAAGCGTCACTTTTCAGCCCTGCCCAGGTGTACGGGATGTACATCTCGTGCTTTTGTTTTACGGTCATTTTACCAGTTTATACCTACTTAGGTAGATGCACTCAGCCTGATTAGGTTAATTACACCGCCACACTCCCAATATACTGCGAGATCCAACCGTGGCTATGCCAGGCTCACCCGCGGTGTTTATACATTACCAAATCGGTCCCCAAATAGATTACACGGATCCCTCGGCTTCCACGGATCTTCCAGAATCTCTTTCTCGACTAACTGCATAGTGGCTCTCGGCATGCTGTATTGGGGCGGTTTTATGTGGCTGCCTACGCTAAGCCCCGTCTTCCATTTCTGTCCGACCCATAATACCCGAACAGAACCCGAATTTGGAGAATTGTTGCGACTCCGAACTGCTGAAAGTGGCGTCATCGCACGGATATTCTCCTGGCCTTAACATCACGAGTCCCTAATTTCTGACTCTTAGAAAATAATAGCCTAGAGCTAAAGTTATATATAGCTAGTTACGCTATCGCCTCAACTAATAATATCGATGGTCGATGAACATTGGCGAGCCTACGTATCAACGTATCTAATCCATGCGCCCAAAACAAGTCAAATTGCATTGAAATCATAATGATGACATGTTCAAGTGACCTTCACATGATGGTGAGCTACAACATCGAATGTACAATGTAGATCACTTGTATACCATTTACATATGTAACTTTGGGCTGTCAACAATATATATCTCGAAGAGCATACGACCAAGAAGCACATAATATAACAGACATATAGTACCTGCAATGAATTGCGAAGGACATTGTTATCAGACCGACTTTTGTAGTAAAGGAAAAGCCGATCACAGCGCATGTCTTGATCCCGTGGACCACTCAGATGCTCTCATTTCTGGTGTGTTGGATGATCGATTATGATCGACGAATGACTGGTTTAAACATTGGACTATTATATGGGATTTGATCGGGTGACAGTAGCTTAATCCATCCCTAGGATCCTCATGTATATTTACGTTGCACAGGGTGCGCGCTGACCACAGCCGAGTGCCAGAGTCCAAACTACGTCCGAGATATACTCCGAACAGACGGTCTCGATCGTCATTAGATCTGATTTATATGTTTCTAAACTACATCGTATTTTGTACATGTGGTATACAATTAAACCAGTGAACGCTTTGTCTACTCCGTATAGACACCTCTACGTACAGTTCTCCGACATCATTCCCAACCCCGAGAAGATCACCGGAGTGCAGTGGACATGCAGCATATGCTAGACCAATCAAACGGACATATAGCATATCGACCATACGCCCACCTGTAGTTTGTCGACTGCTCATCTGTGCTCCAGAACTCTATGCCCCTTTCGGCCCTGGTGCCTTTGGTGCTGGATGACCATTGGAATGTTACCTGCTGATCCACTCTTTGCTATTTTTTAGTGTCAGCCCTATTTTTCTCTTCGGTGTGAGACGAGACTCAATAATAGGATCTGGATCATGGTTGTCCTGCACTTATAACTAGAGCTAGGGGCACCCAATCGGCATGGGCAACTTTCCGTGAGGTCTTGCTTTTTCCACACCTTTATAATTGTTCCTAGGGATCATTCTTCTTGTCCCTCACTGTTCCATTGTCCAGACGTTACCCATTACACGCTTACTTTGTATCTGACTGGGTTATAGTTGGTCTACGTACCAAAAATGCTACTGCAATCGGTCCTCTCGACTCTCTGGCTTTGTGTCGGTATCACGTCCGCCAAATCACAACCAACGGTCTATATGATCCGACACGGCGAGAAGCCCCGGGACCCGGAAGACCATGGTTTAGCCTCAGATGGGGTCAAGCGGGCACAGTGCCTGAGACATGTCTTTGGGCAAGGCTCGGGGTACAACATCGGGTATATTATGGCACCTCATGTGAAAAAGAGTAGGTTACAACAAGACGCGAGAGCAAGCCAACACCACAATGCCGAAGCGAGGCGCGGGGAGATTGACTTTCATAGACGTGACTGACAATATGCTTTCTGTCTGTAGATGGCGAGCATGGCCGTGCATTTGAGACCGTTCTACCTCTTGCCAAAGACCTTGGTCTCACAGTCGACACACACTGCAAGCGGAACAAAGTGAGATGCGTGGCTAAGGCGATCATGTCGTACGATGGACCGGGCAACATTCTGATTGCATGGCGGCACTCGACTATGGGTGGGATTGAGGATGAGCTTGGTGCTTTAGAGCCTATTGAATATCCGGATGGGCGGTAGGTGATTATATCTTCATGTGTCTCCTTGTTAGTACGAGTTTCGCATTGGGAGAAATATGCCTGGGAGGCGGAGGCGGGTATCCCATGGAACTTTTCGACTCGCGACTCTCTTCGACAGAAGATCGTTTGTTTGCCTTGTGTTATGTCCTGGCGCTGACAGCTTCAGATTCGACCTTATTTGGACAGATCCTTGGCCGTATGGGAATGTGACGAGTATCAAAAGCGAGGAATGCCCTGGACTAGACGTTCCGACTGGCCTCGTGGATCAGGTTTGATGTACAAATGGAGAGAATATTCACTTTATTGGTCATTAATTGTATATTCATTAAAACAATGCATGATCAATAATCAATAGAAGATCAAGGTAGAAAGACGACAATGGAAAAGGATGAATAGAAAGGATACGGTAGAGGGAACAATCAACCTCCAGGAACCACTCCTCAACGCACAGACCGACCTAACAAAATTGTTGTAGGAAGGCGGTGAACCAACCGAAGCGGAGACAATTGTAGCGCCAAGATTTCCTCCCCCCAAATTTTTCGTTGCGCTTGACTGTTGAGCTTTCCCTTCCAGATTACAATTCTGTCTACGGGAAAGGATCATGGATGATATCGAGGTTTGTGCACTCGGAGAATGCCCCGCAAGGATTGCGAGCTGACTGCCCTCAAGGAACGGCTGCGCAGCCATGCGCAGGCATTTGACGGTCTGCTGTCTTTGATCCCCGCCAAATACTATTATGGCGAAGAAGACACAAGTGTATGTAGCCCTGTTGCAATTCCTAAGTTGACGGCTTTGGGATTGGAGTCAGCTTGTGTTCTTGCCTTTGTCGTTCATTCCGAAGATCTCTGTCTGACCATCATCCTCTTTTTTTTAGGATCAATGGCAACGCAAAAAGCAAACAAAAGAACAAGCACGCGAGGCGAAGCGGGCGAAACTGAATCCTGATGCCGCTAAGACCGCCAAAGACGTGATGGATGAAAACGCACGCAAGCGAAAGCGAGAGGATGGTACCCTCGAGTCCGACTCGTCCGACGGAGAGATGGGCACGGAGACCCCCAAGGAAGGACTGAACCGCGGAACCGCCAACATCAAGAAGCAAAAGCAGGTCGAAAAGACTGATAAGCCAGACGCTGCCAAGACAGCAGAGGCCGAAGCACGGAAAAAGCAAAAGGAAGAGAAGAAGGCCCAGAAGAAAGCCGTCCAAATGGAGAAAAAGAAGGCCAAGGATGCTGCCCGGAAGGAAAAGGCTCAGCAGAGCAAAAAGCCATCGACTACTCCAACTGAGGATTCGGAAAACTCTGCAACCAAGCCCAACGGCAATACAGCTAAGGACACCGAAGCCTCCGAGAATGAAGAGGATGATGACCAAGAAGATGACGGTGTTGCCGAGGAAGGGTTCTCAATTGAGTTCAACGTTGAAGAAGAAAACCCTTCTTCTGCCCCCTCTACCACCGACTCTCCTAGCCTCGATGCCTCAAATCCCCAATCCGGCACCTCCTCCATTTCCTCCATCGTCACTCCCTCCACCTCCACCGAAGCCAAAACCTCAGAGCCCAAACCTCTCAAGCACACACCCGAAGAGCTGAAGCAGCGTCTACAGAAGCGTCTGGATGAGCTCCGGGCTAGGCGCCATGCAGATGGACTCAACGGCAAGCCTGCACGCAACCGCCAAGAGTTGATCGAAGCCCGCCGGCAAAAGGCCGAGCAAAGAAAGGCACACAAGAAAGAACTGCGTGAAAAGGCCAAGATTGAGGAAGAAAAGAAGAACGACGAGGCCATGGCCCGCCGCTTCTCGCCCGGTGGCTCTGGATCCCTCCTGGCATCCCCCCGCTCCCCTGCCGAGTCTGTCGGGTCTGCCAGCAACAACTTCTCCTTCGGCCGTGTGATGTTCACGGACGGCCAGCAGACAGATATCACCGGGACCAACGTGCGCGAGAACCCGAAGACCCGCGGTGCCCGTGACCCGGCTTCCCAGCTCAAGGCCGCCGAGGCGAAGAAAGCCCGCCTCGAAGAGATGGATGCTACCAAACGTGCCGACGTTGAAGAAAAGGACCTCTGGTTGAATGCCAAGAAGCGTGCCCACGGCGAGCGTGTTCGCGACGATACCTCTCTGCTGAAAAAGGCCCTCAAGCGCAAGGAAACGGCGAAGAAGAGATCTGAGCGCGAGTGGAGGGACCGCATCGACACCGTCGCCAAGTCTAAGGAACAGCGCCAGACCAAGCGCGATGAGAACCTTCGCAAGCGCCGGGATGAGAAGGGTAGCAAGGGAGGCAAGAAGAAGTCTAGCAGCAGTGGAAAGAAGAAGGCTGCTCGTCCTGGATTCGAGGGCAGCTTCAAGGGTGGTGGCAAGAAGAAATAAACAAGCTTCTATCCGGTGGCTTAATTTCATTTCCTTTCTCGCTTGCTTTTATATCGACCCGTCTTCTTTTATATTCTTCTTTTTCTTTTCTCTGCATACCCTTCAAAACGGTCTTTTGCCCCTCGGATGTTTACATCCCTGAAACAAGATCGGACACAGAAGCCCCGAACCAACAAAAAAGTGTTTTGAGACTTTGAACTGGGAAATATCCGTCCGGAGATCAAGGTGCCTGGTGTTTGCGTTTGTGTCTTTGGCAGCTTGGTCTGTCAATTTATGTCTATGCATGACAGCATCGGTAGCGATTTGATTTATCTGTGAATACAATATCATTTTCTTATCGAGCTGTATATATCTTCATTTTCTCTTCATGTCCATGTAAACCTATAGATCCCAAGATGTACTATATATATGCGGTTAGCTGAAAAGTGTTTAGCGTGGATATATATGGGATTGACCGAATTTATATATTTTGAATTGAACCAAAAGAAAAAGAGCTGCTAGATTCAACATAGGAAATAAAAAGAGACAAGGGAGTCAAGGTTCCAGGGAATGAGATTTCCTTTAGGAATTGACTAGTACAAGATGATAACACAGTCGAGGGCAAGTTATGTACAGTGATGTGATGGGGCTTATTCTTGTTTTTCAAGGCACTAGTAGTGCCTCTTGAATGGGTATTGCGACCAGCATCTTCGTCTCCACACATCTAACATCTGGAATCGATGTGGATTTGCCAGAAGATGCCAACCAGATTGGAGGGAAATAGATTATCGGTACGGAGCATCTGCACGAGCAGCAGCAGCAATCTCAGGCTCCCACTTGTCACCGTTGGAGAGGAGCTTCTCCTTGTTGTACAGCAACTCCTCGCGGGTCTCAGTGGCATACTCGGCGTTAGAGGCTGAAAGACAAGATGTTAGTAATCCGGTCTGAATGTCAATTGAGATGTAAGCGGAGTGTGTTGGACTCACTCTCAACGATGGCATCCACAGGGCAGCTCTCCTGGCAGTAGCCACAGTAAATGCACTTGGTCATATCAATATCGTAACGGGTCGTCCGGCGGCTTCCATCCTCACGCTCTTCGGCCTCAATGGTAATAGCCTGGGCCGGGCAGATGGCCTCACAGAGCTTGCAAGCAATGCAGCGCTCTTCACCAGTGGGATAGCGACGGAGAGCGTGTTCGCCACGGAAACGGGGGGAGATAGGACCCTTCTCGAAGGGGTAGAAGATGGTGTAGCTAAGAACATGGCGACGCAATTAGTTGACATAATTCGATGCCATTGATTTTTGATTGCGATCCACATCGCCGGCAAGGTTGGGTGGGACAAGGACTTACGGTGGTCTGAAAAACTGCTCGAGCACCACGTACATGCCGCGGAAGATCTCTGCCATGAGGAAGTATTTGCTGGCCTTGTCCAAGGCGGACTCGGAGTCCTGATCCCAGCGCTTGGGCGGGGGCAGGCGGAACCCGGCCTGAGGGGGTCCCGCTGGGCTTGCTGCGCGGTAGGTCGAGGAAGAGAAGTTTGCTGTTGAGCCCAGCAATCCGAAGGGGGTCGGCCGACGGTAGGCGATTAGCCTCGCGACCGAGCGGGTGGCGGCCATTGTGTTGGAGAGGAGAGTGAGGTTGGAGGTATGGGGGAATCGAGGTTCAATTGGAGGTGGAAGGGGAGCAAGTCTCAGGTTGTGGTGGTTTGCAGGTTTCGGGCTTAGGTCATTCCTTTCTGTCGGGCGTTGATTGGCCCGCAGGATTTTGCTGGGCGCGACCTCACATCTTTCCTCTTCTGCGGTAGCCGTCTTCCCCCAATCTCTACCCTTTTACTCTCCACCATTTCTTTTTAATACTTTAGATCTTTTCAGCCTTTGCGCTATTCCGATCAATCTATTTCATCATGTTCCGCTCCGCCATTGTTCGTTCCTTGAAGGCTTCCGCCCCCCGTGTCATCAAGACCCCGGCTCCCTTCCACATCCGCAGCTCCCCCATTGCTGCCCAGGTCCCTCAATTCACTCCCTGCTTCGCTCAGGGTGTCCGCCTGTACTCCGCCCCTGCCGGTCTGAGCAAGACTGAGGCTGAGGGCCGGATAGTCAACCTGCTCAAGAACTTCGACAAGGTGCGTCATGTTGTTTTCCCGGGGAATCTCGCGATCTAGCGGCTATAGACGAAAAGCAAAATGCTAACTGAACTTGTTTTATATTTAGGTCTCCGATGCCAGCAAGGTCAGTTATTATCTGTCGGATGCACCGTTGTGACCTTTACCTCGCTATGAGCTATGGGAGAGGCGACTGAAAACATTCATCAACTAAACCCGTTTGACTTGCAGATTAACGGCGCTTCCCACTTCTCGAACGATCTTGGTCTGGACAGCCTGGACACCGTCGAGGTCGTGATGGCCATTGAGGAGGTACGCGCCCGGTTTCCCTCGGGAAAGCACCAATTGTATATTATATGATATCTAACTGTTTCAACAGGAGTTCAGCATTGAGATCCCCGATAAGGAGGCTGACCAGATCCACAGCGGTACGTTAAGACTTGATGACCCGTTATAGTTCGTCACCCAGAGCTGACATGAATATTACGCATAGTTGAGAAGGCTGTCGAGTACATCCTGGCCCAGCCCGATGGTATGTGAATCCCATATCACTTCTTCTTCCTCAACAATTGCTGACTTGTTCACAGCCCACTAGATATTTAATTTGAGAACTTGGGATCGGTTGAAGAATCGGATAGAAAAAGAATCGGGATGTTGATGTTGGCATCGGTCTGGTTCGCTGGACACAGTGACACTCGACATGCTACTTTGTATGCTGAATACATGCCAGTAGCTTTTCTTTCCTACATCGTGTATATCATTTGAGTGCAATTTATGCAATTTTGAAGCAGCATTGCTACCACGTGGTGATAATCACCAAATGCGTCTGGGCACTTTTGGTATATTGTATATGTTTTCAGTTTGACGGTCCATTCGGCCATGTGTTTTTGCTAGATGCACACATACGTACATATGTAGGTACACAGTTACCTCTGTGTATCATACGATTGTACATATATGCATGGATGTATCCTCTAGAGTTGGTCTCGTGGCTACATGTTTGAGTTTTAATAGTGAACATAGACAATAACCCCAAGGCTATAAGCATATCTAAATGGGTCAAGAGATTGTAGGCCAAGTAAAAATTGGGATACCTAGGTAGAGGCCATTAACTAGATTGCCACTTTTTTAAAGAAATAGTAGAGCCATTAAGTAGAATCATAACGGGGAAATTACCACAATGTCCTTTATGGGCGTTTAAAGCACCCGCAGATACTCCAAAGAGCCACATCACCGAACTACACTAACTTTGACCTTCACCCTGTTCACCACTCTATTCATTACAGTCGCCTATTCATTTCGTATTTATGCGGGTTTAATTCAATATACCCGACACTGTATCGTTTTGGCTAAGCCCACTCGGTCCCTGGTTTCCCCTGACACCGAGAGTCCCACTTCAACCGCAGACTTTCGGTCTGGTCCCTCTCAACATCTCACCAAACACAGACAGTTCAGAACCACCGGCATATAGATCGGAAGCTGTTGGTCATACCCGGCCATATCTCTCTTCATCCATTTTTGATCCCCCCACCCAACCCGACCCGATCTCATGGCCTCAGCAGCCGGGGGCTTGACTCGCCGCAGAGGCGCCGGTCGAGTCGCTGGGGCAGATGAACAAGATGACAGCCGAGTGTCATCACCGATTTCCCGAAACGGCTCTGCGATGGATAACCGTGGACCAGAGACGTCGTTTACCAGTGCAGAGAATGGCCACAAGATCGCGTTCGACCCCCGCGACATCAGCGAAAACGAAGAACGGGGCAAGCAGCCCAAATTGACTCTGATGGAGGATATCCTGCTGCTGGGTCTGAAGGATAAACAGGTGAGTCTTCATGGATATTGTCTCATGACCGATTTGTTCAATTTGTGGTTCCGATCGCTGACATCGTGCCCGCGCCGCAACAGGGCCATCTGTCATTCTGGAACGAAAACATCTCCTATGCCCTGCGAGGGTGTATCGTCATTGAGCTAGCGCTCCGCGGCCGTATAAGCATGCAGAAGGATTCGTCGCGGCGACGCTTCCCCCTGGCCGACCGCATCATCGAGGTCATCGACGATACATTGACCGGGGAGGTCTTGCTGGACGAGACACTGAAGATGATGAAGTCAAGCGAGAAGATGAGCGTCAACTCATGGATTGATTTGTTGAGTGGTGAGATAAGCCCAGAGCAGAAATTTGGGTTGCGCCAGTACTTACTGACCGGGCTGTTGTAGGCGAAACCTGGAATTTGATGAAGATCGGATATCAATTGAAGCAAGTCCGAGAACGACTGGCTAAGGGTCTTGTGGACAAGGGTATTCTCCGGACCGAAAAGCGCAACTTCCTTCTCTTCGATATGGCGACGCATCCCGTGGCCGACGGCGGCGCGAAAGACGAGCTCCACCGACGGGTGCGCAACATCTGCAGTAACCGCACTGTGATTGTCCCTCCTAGCCCGTGGCTCCCTGAAGACGCCGAATACCGATACCTTCGTTCAATCAGCATGGTCTGCGCCGCATACGCCGCCAACGTCCTCGAGAACGCTTTGGTCACCATGAGCCACGAGGCTCGCGAGAGAGCTTTCGCGCAGGTGGATGAATTGCTGGCTGAGTATTCGCAATGGCCGTTTGGCCGAAAAGCTGGAGGTTCGCAGGCGATTGGAGCCAATTTGGCTCAACTCGTCAATGAGGAGATCAATCGGAACAAGGATAAAGAGCTTCAGATGGAGGTAAGCTGCGCCTCATACCGCGTTAAACACTTGACTCGTACGTGCTAACCGACAAACAGATTGTCGCCGCATGCTTGAGCGTTTTTACCAGACTTGATTCTTTACTTTAACGGAGGTACCGCGTAATACACTATCTTTTATTTCTTCACGACTTCTCCTTTCTCGCCTTCTCTCTCTCTCTTGCCTTGCACCTCCGCCACAAAACTGGTTTCTTCTTCTGTTCATGTAGTTCGATCTTGTGGGATGGGGCAGAGCGTCGCTTTCCTTTTCTTTTTTATATGGAACCGTCGGATCAAAACTAACTTGATTTACTTCACCCTTTGTTTTATTCTATTCTTTTCTTGAACTTGGCTTTGGGACGTGGCATTGCGAATGTGCTCTTTTGGCCTGAACTTGTAAGTGGCCCTATACTTTGCAAATTGATAACCCTAGGTTGCTTTCCTCGGCATTGCTTCTTCCTGCCTTTGATCTACCTTTGATATCTTTGTATTAAAATGCATATGACAATCTAAATACTATGTATTAACCCTAACAACTACCATCCCACCACGTCGACTCCCCGCCGTCCCAGCAGCTCCAGAAGCCAACAGATCCGCCGCACGCGGAATATCAACAACAGTAATCTCTCTCCCCCGGACCAGACTCTGCTCAACCAACTCCGCGATCCGCTCCATAGCCGCCCCGTCAGGATTAACAGGGACAAACCGGCTCTTAATCCCACGCCTCCTCTCGCCCAGCACATCATTCTCAGGAACAAGCGGAGACTGCAGCGCAACCTGGCCATCCACAACAGTCAACACAGCCCCGTAGTCCTTAACGACACCCGCAGCATGAGCAGCCCGGAAGACTTCGCCGCCGGAACAGTCAAGCACGATATCAACCGGCTCCCAGCGGCGCGCGCGGAACACCTTCTCGATATTACACTCGTCTCGCGAGGGCAGGTGCGGGATGATGACTATCTCGTCCACTTCCCAGTCCTTCTCGATGATGTCGGCTTCGACTTGCGTGCATGTTACACAGATCCACGGCCGGACGGGTGTGGGGAAGAGCGAATCTGCTCGCAGGATCTGCACCGCAATACGGCCGATGTCGTTGTCGCGGGCGTTGGTGACGAGGACTCGGATCTTGGGCGGTTTTTGCTTCCCGTTGCCGTTGGAATTCGTGTTGCCAATTATGCTTCCTAGTAGGCTAGCACGCCGTCCAGGGCTAGCGTTGCCGTTGACGCGGTTGAGGCTGCCGCGGCGGGTATTGTTGTTGGCATCGCCATTAGCTGTGGGATCCACTGTGCTGGCAGCGCGCGTAGCTGCAGGATCAGTGTTGCCTTTTATCAGGCCGATCAAACTGCTGCGACGGACAGTACGCTTGGGATTTGGGTCAATTGTGCTGGCAGCGCGAGGAATGGTTTTCTTGCCACTGGGATTACCGCTGATGAGACTCATTAGGCTCTCGCGACGCACATTCTTATGATTGTGAGCGGGACTGGCTGCTCTAGCAGCTGGAGGGATGTTGTCAATGTCAATATCATTCCCATTGGCGGTGCCATTGGCATTGCCGTTTGATTTGGAGCCGCCGCGATTCCACTGCCAAATCCAACGCCCGTTCCCGTTTCCATTTCCATTGCCACTGGGAGTACCTTCTAGTAGGCCGCCGTTACCAGCGACTGTACTTTTGCGGTGTCCGTAGCCATAATCCTGACTACCGAGCACAGACTGACGGCGTTGACGCTGCCAAAGCCAACCCCCGATCCCATTCCCGCCGCCCAGCTCCTCGCTGACCTCGTTCAGCCCGCCAGGCACGTCGGGATCGAGCCCTGCATACCGAAAAAGCGCCTGCCAAGCTGTCAACGCCGGTAATGCAAGCGCCGCCGCCCCAGCAACAGTGATATTATCCGGTTTCAGCGCTAGCTCGCTCTCGGTTGCAACTGCATAGTCTGCGGCTCCGCCGTCACGCGTATAGCTTACCACACCAAAGACTACATCGCCAATTTTGAATTTCGGGCCTTCTTCCCGCTCGTCGTCTTCACGCGGCGTGCTGATGACTGTCCCGCAGATACTGTGGAGTGGAATCTGCGGCGTGGTATTTGGGGGGTTCAGGAGTCCGGCGAGACGGATTTCGTCGTGGCAGAAGGCTGCCGTGCTGATCTTCAGTAGGTATTGCTGAGGGGAGGGCTGCGGGGTCGGGAAGCCAGGATCGAAGACGAGGTTTGTTCCTTTCTGGCGGACGATGCCTGTGCTTGTGTCGGGTGAGATGGCGTCGCTGATTTCTCCTTCTGGGATTCCATCGGGTGTGCCGTTGTCTAACCCGTCTGGGGTGTAGTAGAGGGCTCGCATCGACAGTGGTGTGAAAGCTGAGTCGTTCAGCGTTGCTGAAGTGGGCTTTGGGGCATGTGAGGTGCGTTTCGGAGGCTCAGACGGCTCATTCATGGCTTCTGGGGGCTCAGACGGAGGCTTCCTAGCTTCTGAGGTGTGCTTTGGGGATTCGGGTTCCTTTGGGGACTCGGGTTCCTTTGGGGACTCAGGCGGCTGTTGCATTGCTTTTGGGGTGCGTGTTGAGGGCTGCGATGGATGCTTTGGCTCGTGTTCCACGATGGGTTGCGTGGGTGGTATGTCTGATATGTCTGACTGCATAGTGTCATTGGGATCTTGATGCATTTTGGCGGGTTTTCCAGATGACTTTGGGTCTTTCCAAAGAGTTTCTTGTAAGGAAGTTGAGGCTTTGAACGCAGGGTCTTCTCTTTGCCATCCTATAGATCGGAAGCTAGTTCCTAATCTTGACGTATGTAGGGCTTAGGTCAACATCGCCACTTGACAATCCCGATCAATTCCATTGCAATGACTGAGATTTGATTTTATCTTTCTATCTGACTTTGTTTGACATGGAAAGATAGTATGTGAAGTCCGTTGTTCATATAAGGCAGATAGTGCATGGAATATCAAAATCAATGGCAGACTGAGATCCCAACGGGTGTTATAGATCGTTGTTTGCCCTACCCCTTCAAGGTCCGGTGGACAGCATAGTCTAGCGGGTTGATAGTTGGCATTGTATTTCTTATCCCTCAACCCGCTTTCTGTGGCGTTTGCCTGCCTTCCATGTCGCCTGGACCCGCGCGTGCCGTCCTTCTGATCGCCGGTCATCCAGGCGATGACAATTTTCATTTTATTTCCAAGGTGACCTTTATCTGTTCAGATTGAATGCACGCGTTGTTCCCTTATGCAATTTCGGGGAAAGAGCAAGAGGTTCGACAGAATCAGAGCGAATCATTAGCTGCAAAAATACCCAAGCCAACTAAATATGTACAGATTCTTCTTACATCTATAAAGCCTGGTCCTCCATACCCAGCCCATCAATAAAATCATACAATTCCTCCGGCTGCTCAAAGACCGTCCAAATGTGCGATGGCACATGCTCAAATGCCTTCTCAAACCTCCCCGGTGCGTTCTTCTCTTCCATATGCGCCACATCATTAACCTTTCGAATGATGATAGCATGAATCCAGTCAGGATACCGACTATACATTTCTGCATAAGCCTCTGGATCCATCTGCGTTGAGTCCCCTATACAAAGCACCCTCCGATGCGGCAACCACCGCCGAATCTTCTCCATCCGATCGACCTTGTATTCCTGCGTCTTCTCAGTGAACGACTTGATAAGCCCCGTGATATCCATCCACGAGTAATCACGCAGCACCAGAGTACCCGGGCAGTAGTTTCCATCCAGGAAGTCGTGCAGGAAAGGGTAAAGATTATACGGCGACGCAGAGAGATAAAACCACGCAGGAAATAGCTGAGCATGAATATACTTATACAGCTGCGGCATACCAGCGATGGGCTCAGGAATATCCGCAAAAGTGGTGCGAATAATCCCCGTCGGCTCAAGCGTCATAGTATGCTTGATAGTATCGTCAATATCCGAGACGACCAGCCAGCCCTCGGGCGCGGCAAAAGTCGTGCTCATCGACACAGCCTCGCCGCCGAAATGCTGCAGATGTGGCCGCACAACCGCCCCGTCGTGCATCCCCATTTTGCCCATATCGACCGTCTGGCTGATGAGGCCGTTGCGGTCGGACGGGCCGAGTCGGTGTGACTGCGCCCGCCGGGATATGGGTACCTGCAGCGTGACCGTGCGCGCTGGCGACACCTGGTTGATAAAAGGCTGCACGCGCTCTGTGATGCGTCGGCGTGCTTCGTCGTCGCCGCCGATGTCGCCATCAAGCCCGATGTAGTCGGCGATCGCGGCGACGAGATTACCCACATCTTTCCGGCCTTCTGTTTCGAAAATGCAGGCGACTACCTCGGCGTGCCAGCACGGTTGATTCTCGTCTGTTTCCTCATTTACCGATTGGTAGGCTGTATTGTCTAGCAGCCACACGGTGTGCTTGCATGGGTTTGCTGGGTGCGCGAGTGGGTTCTTAGGACCAAGAAAGGATGAGAAGAAATTTAGCAAGGCTGAGCCGCGTTTTTCTTGCACTGGTGTCGGAGAAGTGGAAGCTGTCGCCTCATAAATCTCTTTTCTGGCATCAGCGACCGACAGTTCGTCTGGTTTGTGGTGCAGCATGATATTGGCGCCAACTCGGCTTCCAGTCTCAAGGCCGAAGTGTTTCTATGGCAAAATAGCAGTAAAATCAATACCGAGGGAAGTCCCCGAAAAGCACATGTCAGAGCGCAAAGATGCAAAGAAATTAAAGGAACTCATCAGGGGAGAGACGATCATATAGCTAGCCCCCGTTAGTTGACGATTTAGTGTTAGTGCCATCCGGTGCCCTTCGGCCAAGAGCCTCCATTCCCACCTGATCTTGTCTACCTTTGAAGATACTCGTAGCGACAGTCATTTTTGAAGTGAAGACACAACATTTAGGTGGATGACAGGGGCATGGCCATCTCGATGTCAGTTGGTCAGGTCAGGCGAACGGGACACTATGGTGGGGGATGGCTTGGCAGTAGGGCTGAGTTTCTGATGAACCAGCTGGTGGACTTCATGACTTGGTGAACTTCTCTTTTCCCGGGTGATCTGAGATACAGCCTCGATGCGTTTCAAGAGAAGATCTTGGCTCTGAAGTTATGACGTTTTCCTTTCCAGGCGGGCGAATAATCGATTTTCTCTGCTTATTCTGCATCTCATACAATACTTACCTGATTTACTAGCATAGACAATGAGATATGCAGAATTACACCCCTAGAGAATTTAGACAGACTGAGGTTTGGACTATGAAGACATATTCTACAACCGCTCGAGGTCAAAGGGTTGCTATCACCAAGTATCAAGTCTATATTTAGTAACCCTCTGGTTAACTTCTATGAAATGTACACTATCCAGACGCATCAGATCATTCCTGCAGCGGGTATCCGTATCCAACTAACATAGCAGGCTCCTCGATGTTATGATGCTGATAACTGCAAGTAGGAAAAGGTCAACTGCCAGGCCAGTGAAATGGGACGAAAGAGAATTACCTGAGGACGCCAACAGCGCCAGGGTCCAGCATCAGAGAAAGAGGGAACTCCATAGGATATCCCAGCCAGCGCTTGGTAAAGGCACGAAGCAAATGTCCGTGTGCAACAAGCAGGATATCAGAAGGATTCTCTCCGTGCATGTTGTCCTTGTGGGTGGCGCGAATCTCGTGAATGAGATTATCAAGACGGTCCGTCACCTCTTGCGCAGACCTGTATTAACCTGGTCAGATATACTCGATCATGGCGACTCCAGGTAAGCCCAAAATATTTTCTTTTTTAAAAAAAGAGTGGACTTACTCTCCGTTTTCGCAGCCGTCTCTCCAGATATCCCACTCGCTCTCGGTATCCAGACCGTGCTCCTTTCTCAAGGCCCGGATTTGTTTAGTCAACAGACCTTCATACAAACCATAGTCCCACTCGGCCAGCCTGTCCGTCTCAGAGATCTTCTGTGCATCTTTAAGCGCCTGTTTATCGGCATCAGAGAAAGCAATCTCAAAGGTCTGCATCGCTCGCCTGCGAGGACTGATATAGACATGCGCAAGCTTGGCCGGGTCAATCAGTCTCCCGGATCCGACGATCATCTTGCCAGATGCAGTGACCTGGTTAATACCATCTTGGGTGAGCTCAAGCTCAGTGATCCCGGTGTACCGGCCGTTCTTGGACCATTCCGTTTGCCCTAAAGTCTAGTTAGCCTACGGAAAGAAGATGATGTTGAAGATATAGAACGTGCCGTGTCGGTAGAGGAAGACACGGGGTGTGCCAGAGTCTTTATCGGGCATTTCGGACTACTGTTCAAGGGTATTTATTGCAAGGGAGGTTGTTGAAAGTGGGTTGCGGGATTGTGGGAAAAGTGGGTAGGATTTCCGCCCCGGTGAGTTCGAACTTCGCCACGTGTACGAACTCAACTGAGAAGTAGAATATCGACCTTTTATTCTGTGTATTTCTAAGTAAAGAAGAAGGTCGCGTAAAAGAGCATTGTTAAATGGGGGTACTTGATATGTATGGCCTTGGGGCAGATTTGTTTAGTGATTTTATAGTGGGCATCTGGATTTAATAAGTGATGGCATCTTGTATTATGTACAACGTAGGATAGAACAATTCTATATTGAAGTACATTCGTTTCAGAGCTTCGGGCTCTATAGTCTAGAGTATATCGGCCTTCGTATTCTAAGACATCTATGTCACTAAACGGCTTTGAGATACTCATAGTATCTATTGAATACCGTAGTATCTCACTGATGATCTCATTATATTGAGCCACGCAGATATACGTGCCTTTTCCTTTGTCTAACCCTTCCTATTGAAATGAGCATTTGATGTAGAGAACAAATATTATACCACAATAATTAGCAATAGCCCAAATTAAGATTAACTAAAGTCTGTATTTCCCACCTTAATGATCTCTATGTTTTGCCTAGATCAAATCTCAGACATGTGTAGGGAGTACAAAGCTGTATGCAGATATTGCCATCCCGTGACACCTTGCATAACCGGTTCAACTTCCAAAGATGAAATATTTCAGCCCTTGCATAGTCTAGGTCTTGCGTTTCCGAGACTCCCATCAAGGCCTATTATGTTGCCTTAGCAAGGAAAAATATAAGCCTAATCAACTGAACACATACTTTGTATCTTGTATTCATCCATTTGCATTCGGCACAAAACAAGACTTGAGAAGGTAGGTGGCATATAAATCCATCTACTGAATGAGATTCATCCTAATATATACAGTCAAGGAGATTCCTCCAACATTCCAACATGCCTTCGACAATTTCACCCGTGCTACCCACCCCATTATTATCTGAACGTCCAAACGCCCTCCGATACTATCCCCGCCGGAAACACCGATCTAGTCGAGCTCCTGTCCGCCCAGTCTATACAAATGAAAACCCGTTCATCTGTCACACTTCCTCACACTCGTTAACCCATTCCTGGCCCAAACATCATGCAGTCGATTGCCCGCGATGCCATCGACACTATAGCGTCAGTTTCTGCAGGCAGCGACGGTAGTGAGAAGGATTTACGCTTGGAATCTCGATTTTGGGATATGATATGATTGTGAAATGGTTCGGCTGGGAAGTATCTGAAGCCTTTTTCTATCCTAGATGGCCATTTGACGTTCGCAGTGAGAGTGATGAGAATAGTGTTCAATGTAATTCTTTGCCGAATCTTTTAATTTAGTAGGAGAAGAGGGATTGAATATTCCATTATCGGCATTGTGGAGGGAAAAAAGATCATTACGAAGAACAAAAATGCCCTGCTTAGCATTAGAGTGACACCCATGGAGATAGATATCTATTCATGGATGGATGAGAGACAATGAGACTTGATAGGTGTAGATATGAAGGGACACTTGTTTCAATAGACGAGAGTGAAGTGAGTGAGATAGACTATAAAAAGAAGACAAATATTGCTCACATAAATTAGGATCTCTGAAGAGAGGGCTCTATAGACCTAGACGTCTTACTGAACTGTAAATCTTCCATCTTTGTTCGAATTAGGTATCCCGGGTCAGTGTATCGGACTATGCGGTCAAATCCCGCCTGTTTATATCGATGGCTCGATTGTCCGCGTTGGCTCAATTGAATCCATACTGCTCTATTATCCGGTCGAGGTGATGGAATCGAAATCGGCATAGTGGATTGGAAATGATTCAGCTTATTCCATGAGTATCGCTGTCCCCACGGGCATTCAATGCTGCCAGCTTTACTATCATTAGATACAACATAATAGCAAAAACCTCAGAATTAGCTCTTCTTGTCTGTTCCAGTCCTAGAGAGAAGCGTATTCTTCGCTATCCTCTCCGAAGAATTCAAGCGTCAAAGCCAGCTTTGCAGTTTTAAGATCGCTAGCAATTTTTCGTTTTTGCGCCTCAAGTTCGAAGACAGTGCTCATTTGTTCGTCAATCATGCCTTTCTGTCTATCGAGCTTCCTTGTCTGTACCTTGAGTATATATTTGAATCGAGATAATATGTCCGTATATAGCTGTTTAAACTGCGGCTTATCTTCAAGTTTGAGCATCACGTCCGAATGCTCGTCGTGTCCTTTAGCGTTTTCAACCCGATCCTTTAAAGTATCATGGCTTGGCTCGAGAAACTCCACATCGTCTGGTTTCATCTCGCTGATCAGTTCTTCCTGGTACTCGAGCTCCGAAAACATTATGCTAGTAATGTGACCTGTGACTCTCTTCACCTTAGTATCTCGCATTTCTAGCGCAGACGCTTTTCTAGTCTGTTTCTCGAGATCCGAACTAACATTCCTTTTTGGCACTCGAGTTCGGCGGTCTTCCCTTTCTGTTTCTCGATGTCATCAACTAGCACTCCTTTTTGGTACTGGAAGTTGACAATAGTCTTTGCCTGTTCTCCGAGATCGTGAAGTAGTATTCCTTGTTGCCACTGGAGGTTGGCGATCATCTCTGCCTGTTGTCCGAGGACACGAACTAGCATTCCTTTTTGGGACTCGAGGCTGGCGATCTTCTTTGTCTGTTTTTGGGGCTTGGATGCAATCTTTGTCATGCGCTGTTCAAGCTGGCGCACTGCTTCTTTGTGGGATTGTTTAAGGTTGAGGATAGTCTTCTCCTGTTCCTTCATCTTAAGTCTCAGCTGTGTATTTTGTTCCCGAGACTCCTTTTTTTTTAGCCTGTCAACAAGGTCATGGTGCGACAGCGTGGAGGCCCGTGATGGTCCAATACCATTAGCCATGCACTGCGGATTAACTGCCGACTCCGTCCATTTGGGTTCTTTGGGGAGTAAGCCGTTCGAGGCTTGCTTCTGCTCGAGGTTGCCTGCCGTCTTTGTTTTGCACTTCGAGCCCAAGGATGGCCGTCACGTCCATTCCGTTGGTATTGGCTGACCTGTCGCCTGCGTTTGGTGTTTGATGGACCGACAGATGGGCTCCAGTGAGCGCTCTTTCTTAGTATATAGGTCTGAGTGAGTTGACAAGTGATGAGAGTTTGGAGTATTCTTGAGAGTGCCCTGTTGAGTGGCACGTGTCTGAAGATGGGTGAATTCAGTGAGTCGATGGGACAGGCAGAGGGTCTTCTAAGGTTATATCGCTGACCTTGCTCCGATTCCATGTTTGGCCCGGAAGGCACAACTTTATATCCCTTGGGACAAAACAATGTAAGTTTTGGAACTGAAACTAATTTTAGAAGAAAATTACATCTTTTCCCTTTCCGGTGCATATAGAACCTCGCCGCGTACAAAAAGTACAAAATAAGACAGATATCGTTATGATGATTCGTAACACATAGAGCATGAAAACAGACATATTTTCAGGCCCTCAATACCAAGGGGCGGAGAAGTTGCATGGGTCATATCCATTGGCCTAGTAGACGGAAACTTGATCGTCCCGTGAATTGACTGAGGTGATACCATCTAATGACGAGATGTCAATCCTGGATAGCAATGCCAGATCAAATTGAACGGACCTAGTGCACTTGCTAGGGTAGTGCTCGCAAGCAACAAAGGTGTCTATAGGTGTTGCAAGAAGAGTGAGCACTCAAGATACCCCAGGAAACGGTGATAGCTTTTGGAGCAAGACTCTATCAAGGCCCATTGAGTTGGTGGTAATTAATATTCAATAGGCCTCATTTTCACCATTTCTTCGGGGCAGAAATCTCCGCCCGAGAGAACGAGGCAGAGACAGTCTCGTTTGCTTTCCGCCGTTGAATCGCTTTGATTCCTGTGCGGTCAGTGACCGTCGTTGCATTGATGATATTGTCGAATGCCTCGTCCTCGCTTCCTCCTGAGCCGGACTCAGCATCTGAGTCGACGTACAGCTGCTCCGGCCGAGAAATTTTCTCCGGCTGCTGCTTTCCTTCCTCTTCCGGATTTTGGAACGATTTAGAATTGAGAATCTTGCGGCGGATTTCGGCCATTTGCTCTTCATCTTCAGAGTCATCGGAAATCGCAAATGGATCCTTGTCCTCGTCTTCCTCTTCGTCACTGCCCTCATCTTCGTCATCTTCGTCTCCGCTTTCGTCGTCCCCGTCATCATCAGTTCGTGCGGGCAAACGATTGGTGTTTCCTTTGGTCCAGATATCGTCACTTCCATCGACGCGATTGTCTTCGTATTCGCGTTCGATTTTGGCTAGCCAATCCTCTTCCGCCTTTTTTACATCTTCCTCCGTTTCGCAGGCGGCGTAGCGCGCCAGAAGTTCTTTGTTGATTTCCAGGAAAGATGGCCCATAGCTGAAATGGCTCAGTAGATCTTCCGCCCATTCCAAGCGACCGCAGATGGCGAAGCAAGCGGCGAGCGCTTCGACGCAGTTCAGACGCCATGGTTTGCCGTAGTTAACCGTGTTGGCGGCGATAAGGTAGGGAACTATATACCGAGAGAGTTAGTATCCCATGAATCCAGTTCATCCTTGCCAAATTCTTATTACATACGAAGCCGTTCACATTTTCCGCCGATCCGCGACCAGGGCACCTCTTTGACTCGCACCCAAGAGCATTCCACCACAGCAGCACCGTGCTGTTCCATAATATCCTTGTCTGCGGGAGAGATAATTCGCTTGGCATTTGGACTAGCCAAGAGTCAGTATACAAAGACGACAAAAAAAGGGCGCTGCGAAACATACGAGACGATCACGCCGGGATGCCGCTGGCCGACGTGAAGCTCCCGCATCAGACCAAGCTTCATCAGTCGCTTTCCTGAGCATCGCTTAGGATCACAGTGTCCCATATCCCAGCAGGCGGCCTTGTAAGGAGGCCTCGAGGACGTCGCGCTCTCAACTTCATCACCGCGGGGCACTCGGGGGCGGGGGCTGTTGAATTTCTTGCCTCCTCCTCGCACGAAGTTGTCTTTTTTGTGTCGGACCATTGTGAATAATGAGATCGAATTCTAAAGAAAGTATACAAGAATACCCTACCTGGAGTATCTTGAAGTATCCTGTAGTGGTAAACGCGGTGATTGGAAGAAAAGAGATTCAAGGCCAAGCACAAGCGCCACACGTGCAGCCTAAACGGGTTCTCCGCCCGGCTCCCCGTCCGCGACTGTACACATCTCCTCTGGATCCTTGTGCTTTCCATACCTCTGTCTTTCTCTGCATAATACCATTTTTCCCTCTTGTTTCCTCGTCCACCGTCATCCTGGAGGCTGCATCTGCACGAATGGCGGCTAGGGACCGCTTCGGTGTCTACGCTGAGCCAGGCGCTTCGCCGTTGCAGCGGGCAATCCGTGAGTTTAATGCTGAAATGAATGTAACACAAATGATCAGTACTGATGCTTAATTATCCGCAGGAAATGCCTGCGATCCTCAAAACTATGAGCCGAACCTAGCCCTGAACCTCGAAGTTGCGGATCTAATCAACTCCAAGAAAGGCAATGCGTGAGTGAGAACACCCATGTTGTATGGCGCACACTCATGAATTCGCTTCTTAGGCCCCGAGAAGCCGCTTTTGAGATCGTTCATCTCATCAATTCCCGAAATCAGAATGTGGCATTATTGGCGTTGGCGGTACGTGGGGAGCTCAAATGACAGCTCACGCGGGGGAGACTGACAAACGCGGTTTCTAGTTACTCGATATTGCCGTCAAGAACTGCGGATATCCGTTCCATCTCCAGATCGGCACGAAGGAATTCTTGAATGAATTGGTCCGCAGGTTCCCCGAGCGACCACCCATACGGCCCTCCAGGGTCCAGCACCGCATTTTGGAGTCGATCGAGGAGTGGCGCCAGACTATCTGCCAGACATCGCGCTATAAGGATGACCTAGGCTTCATTCGGGACATGCACCGTCTGTTGCTTTACAAGGGGTATATGTTCCCGGAGGTCCGCCGGGAAGATGCTGCGGTCTTGAACCCTAGTGATGTATGTGGCCCCCCCCATGGTATTGTTCTCGGAGTCAAATTAACGTTGACTAGAACCTCCGCTCAGCGGATGAGATGGAAGAGGAAGAGAGGGAAGCACAGTCTGCCAAACTCCAGGAATTGATTCGGAGAGGCACTCCCTCCGATTTGCAGGAAGCGAACCGGCTCATGAAGGTTATGGCAGGATTCGACAATCGGCACAAAACTGACTATCGAGCGAAGGCCGCAGAGGAGGTTGTTAAGGTGCAACAAAAAGCCAAGATTCTCGAGGAGATGCTGCAGAATCAACAACCCGGGGGAGCTCTCCCTGAAGGCGACGTTTTCGAGGTAGGCAATAAGACGTTCTGTGTGTTGTTTACCAGTTGATTAGTCTCTGACACTGTTACTAGGAACTTGCGAGTGCCTTGCAAAGCGCTCACCCAAAAATCCAGAAAATGTGCGAAGAAGAATCGGATGATCCCGAGGCCGTCCACAAGCTATTGGAGATAAACGACAGCATACATCGCACTATCGAGCGGTATAAGCTAGTCAAGAAGGGTGATCTGGATGCTGCGTCTCAGATCCCCAAGGGTACGCTGGGCACCACGACCGGAGTCTCAAAAAATGCAAACAACGAGCTCTCTCTTATCGATTTCGACCCGGAGCCTGAACCCAGCTCCAACGGCCACGAGGCCGGCCCATCCCAGGGTGGTAACTCCTTGGAGAATGATCTGCTCGGCCTTTCATTAGGTGAACGAGCTCCCTCTCCGGGAGGTGGTATTTCTCTCGGATCTTCCAGTAAGTACGGCGGCACAGTTTTCCCCCAAAGCACCACTGACAATATCAAAGTGAATTTCCCGTCCATGTCAGCAAGCCCAACACCGCCTGTCCCATCACAACCTCATCAGCAGGCGCCAACAGCTCTCAAACCTAATTATGATATCCTTGCTTCTATGAACAGTTCGCGATCTGTCTCTCAATCTGCTACACCTGTGATGGGTGTCTCGTCCAAACAACAGTCCACAGCGACACCGCCACCAGCGGCCGACCCATTTGCATCGCTTGTCTCTGCCAGCCCACGGGCAACATCTAGTCCCTTCCAACCTCCGGCGCAAAGCCAACCTGCTCCGGCTTCGTCGTCATTGCTGGACCTGGTCGGAGACACGGGTCCGTCCCGGCAACCTGCGCAGCAGGCCGCTCCAGTGGAAGATGATGAGTGGGATTTCGCATCCGCATTGCCGGCGAGCAATGCCCTTCCATCGACCAATAAGATCCAAGTCCTGAACTCTCAGCTCCGTGTAGATTTTGCTGCACGTCGGGTACCGAACCAGCCACGCCAGATCCACATTGTAGCCATCTTCTCAAACACAACTGGCCAAAGTATTGGAGATCTCCATTTCCAGGTCGCTGTGGAGAAGGTAAGTCATTGGCCACTATTAACAGAGTCCACTTTCTAGGTGAGTCTACTGACAATTAATTAGTCCTACACGCTACAGCTTCGGCCGCAATCAGGCCGAGACATTGCACCCCAGCAGCAAAATGGGGTCCAACAGTTGATGCTCATAGACGGGATCGATATTGGGAACGGCGACTCGGTGAAAATTCGGTTCAAGGTCTCTTACAAGCTTGGCGGCGAGGCCCGTGAGGAACAGGGGATGGTGCCACCGCTGGGCATCGCCTAGCCGTCGATCCCAGAGGTTTATCTTACGGTTTGTGTCTGTGTCTTCTGAGATTCCCCTCTAGATCTGTCTGATGGGAGCTTCCCCTGAGCGGACAATCTAGGATCCACTCCCGTTGAATCGTGGTCTTATCTATTGGTGCTGGCTACTCCAATCTAGCGCAGCATCATCGACGGATTTGGTCTTTCTCTGCCCTTGACTGGTGTCCTTTTTATCTTGGCTTTGCACTCATTGAGAACTTAGCGTCTTTTACCTATTCATGCTGTTTATAAACAAGATTTCATTTCCAATTGGTTTTCACTCGTGGCGAGGGGACGCTGTGCGTGTGGGTAGACAGATTGATTGACTCGCAATGATGCAGATATGAAAGTAGTCAGGGTCGAATCAACGAACCAATCTCTCCATGCGAAAGAGCGAGAGAGGCCGATGCCCTTGCCATATTCTAGATGTCCGTCCTATAGCACCGTCCTAACTAGGTAACCAACCCGAACACCGGACACAAGGAACTAGCCCTAGCGCTAAAACCCACGTAACTGCAGGCACGTTCGTGGTATGCGCCCCAAGAAAATAATAAAACCAGAGAATCAGTTCTGCCGAGACTTCAGTCCACCCAGCGCCACGGCCAGCCACACATTCCATTCCGAGTATGTATGTCTGCAGATCTTGTTGCGGCCACATTCGTCCTGGCGGATGTATGCGACATGAACTGTAGTTCGGGTGTATATCGTGGCTGTGCGTGTGGGGTCTATGGAGTACGGACATTGCTCAACCCCGATTGTTCTCCGAGAGGTCGACTGTTGACCTTTTGGTGGAATCCGGGGATTGATACTGCCCAGGTGGAAACTTCAGACGCTTGAGATTAATTTTGATATCCAATGTTGATTTCTATGTTTATGCTTTCTCGTCATTGTATGGAATCCATGTAGATGTCTACTCTGTACTCCGCATGTCGGACATGGATGTGGGCGATCCGCTGATCGGTTTGATCTCCAAGACCCCACCACGTTGTTGTTAATCGCCAACGATTAAACTTCACTTGGTATTGTCAATATGCCAATCATGTCAGGACAAACAGGAAACGGTCAGTTCAAAGAAAAGTGAAGAAATACATCGGATTGTTGGCAGTGGCGACTTCAGGGGCATTTGGATATGCTCGAAATGGCCTAGTCTCGGCCGGGTGGCGACCTCGGCAACTCCAAGGATGCCCGTCCTATGGGCTTTCGACATGGCGTGGTTATTTTCCATGGGAGATGAGGCTAGATCAGGCAGGTATATGTCCAGTCAAGAGAAGAAGAAGGATTCGTCGAAGGGTTTGGAGACAGATTTGTTTGCCCAGCAGGAGGGTTGAGCCCATATCTCGTATCGTGTAGTATGCGGTATCACCTACATATGTATGTAGGTGGTAGTGGTGGCTTGTTATAGTGGCTAATGGCGTGATTATGTATCTCGTGTACAATGTCTACTCGTGGCTGCCGGCGGTTTATGCCTCGGTTAGTATATGTACTACTTTGGATTGTGCTATGCGATCCTACGCCTCGCAGAAATCAACCCTAAGTGCAGGCCAACTTTGTACCCTCTGATAGATCTACTATATGGATCACTAGTAATAAAGGTCGTATCTTTCGAGTGTACATAATGCGTACAGTCAAGTCCACCAAGTTGGTGGCTATTAGTAGAGTCACTGGGATTGCGCTACGCTGATTAGAACTAGCAGTAGGTCTACGAGAGAAATTCCGAGAAGAGCTGTCGACATAGCCTGGACCTTGTCTAGCCATGCACGTGGAGGCGTAGGCGCCAACGAAATTGCCTGGTTAGGAAGGCAGAGACTCTCCCGAGGTCCAGTCCTTCATATCCAAACCCGGAGTTACCAAAAATTCGCTCGGAATTTTCAATTGGCACCATGATCCAGATCCTCCAGGGCTGCAATATAGATGTTTCACTCGGCAAAGCGTCCGCCAATAGTAAACCATGTACCTGTTATACTAAGTGACCCATTCAACTAAGATATGATTAGAGTACATGCGACGTGCAGTAACCTTATCCATAGATCTGACAAGACAATCTTGTTGACGACTCGGCACGCATGTAGTTATAGCCTTGAATTTCAGGTTCCCTTGGAGGGTTGAAATGACAAGCTAAGTAACTGTGGTGTGGTCCAGCCCCTGCCCGATCCGGCTATCACGTGGTACCATCCCCTGCGTGCTATCGAAGACACCTCTCATAGAAGAGAAAATTAAAAAGATTTGGAAGTTTCAACGCTTCAGGAAGATGATCTGCAGTGATTCTCGATACAGTAACATCTAGTTATCGGGATACATCTATCAGCGTCTGGATTGCCCAGGTGCAGTGTAACCCGCCCCACTTAATCACTGTAAAGGGTCTAGACTCCCCGGGCTGATCTGAAATTCATGTCAATATCTTCAATGTTGATAACTGCACATGTGGTTTCGGCAGCTTCGTAGAAATTTGAAATAGTCTCCAGGAGGACTAGACATGGGCCATGAGTGGCACCATATCGACTCGTATTTGGCGGTTAGTGGCGCTCAGGCAGACTTGCCGAGAGAGGAGGGACTGGGCAACCATGGACCGAGCGGCCGTAAGTTTTCCAAGCGCCCAAACTATGATCGGCTTGGTTCCGTGGTTCTGGCCCCGAGCTTGGGCTTAACTCCTCAGCCTTTTTGGTATTTAAATTACCTTCCCCCTCTTCTTTTGTGATACTCTCTTCTTACATAAATCTACTTTTCCTATTAGACACTATGTCCAATATGCCCCTGTCGGATCTAGATCAAGATATTACGCCTATCCCCCGTTCGCGGGAGGAGAACCAAGAGAGGTATGAACTACCGTATGGAGGGGAAGGAAATATACGCAACGTACTAACAATCACCCAGAGCCTTTATCGCTGCGTCCCGGCGAAAGGATCGCAGCTTAGATGCTCGCTTGGAATCTGCTAACCGGGCTTCTATGTTACATAAGAAGCGCACGGGCAAGGCCTTTCACATCACCAAGGAGATTGTCGAGAAAGAAGCCATGTATGAAGAGGTCGATGAGCGGTATCAAGAAAAACGCATTCTCATGCTGCAACGCCAGAACGAGCAAATTGAAAAGCAATTCCAGGACCATCTAATGGCCGCCTTCGCAGCCCGCGCTCAACTCAATTCTTCCATCCACAGCCGGCGAGCAAGCCACATGACCCCACGCCCATCAGCCAATGGTGGTCCGCGCAAGATGAGCTTGGACCTGTCTAATATGCGCTCTTCCTTCTCCCAAGGCTCAGGCCCAGGCTCAATGGCGAGCCCGATGCCAACGAGCGATGGCTACTTACTATCGCCCACGGCATCATACGACCCGAGTGCCCAGTCCTACATGGCCTGCATGAGTGGTTCCCAGACGCCATACTCCGACATGCCATCGGGACTCCCAAACTACGTGAGCCAACAAGCCTCAGCACCAGCACCAGCCTGGAGCTCCCAAGTACCCGCATGGGCCCCGATGCAACAGCAGAACCCAACCCCTGGGCAAACCCCCACAGACACGCACGCCGTGCAAATGTGGCAGCAGCAAATGATGCAGCAGAATCAGATGCCCGACACGGCAACCCAAATGCATCAGTTCAGAGATCGCCTTGCGTCCGCACCGGAATTGCCTCTGCAGCACTCGACGGCTCCACCGATTCCCTCAGCATCCATCTCGGGCCCCACCGGCCATAGCCCTTCCCATGGTCACTCGCGCGGCCAGTCCCAGCCATCGAACAACTTCCACAACCTCAGTCTCCTTACGCAGAGCACGCACCATTCCCACTCGCAGATCGCCCCCTCTAATTTTAGCTCTCCTAAGATCGAGGCCCTCTCAGCGGGCACTCACTCCACTCCAGACTTCTGTCCCACCCCCAACACCCCACTGTCGCCGAAGACTGCTACGGCGCATGCTACTATGTCGCCGGGTGGGAAGGTCGACAGTGATGGCATTATGGTCTCGCATGAGGGGATGGATCCTGATTTCACGGATTTCAGTCAATTTGCTTTCCACCTGGGGAACTCGACTGTTCCGCTTTCCGACCGTGATCAGCCTTTTGGCTTCGATGATCTTCTCGCTGTTGATGATTTCACCAGCGTCTCTTGTTAACTTCATCTATCTGACTATCATGCCTATTATGATCTACGATACCTGATATACCTAGGTAGTTGTTGTTTTTTTTCTTTGGTTCTTTTTTGGATTTGGGGGTGTATATCGGGTTGGCTTTGCACATTCGCTCCTGTATCATATTCTATTTATCTTCTCACATTTATCTCTCATTTAATATCCTGAACAGGAGTCAGGGTTGGAGATGTTGTATGTATCGGATGAAGCCTTGCTTTTATCATTAAACTTTACTTTATTCTACTTTTCTTCAATCCACGTATGTACAGTGACATGAAGCCTATCCACTTTTCTTTTCCGATCTCCTTGTTAGATTTTGACCTCGGTGAATTTTACGTTGCAGGACTTAACGTTGCATTGATCCGCAAACAACCCTCACAGTCCGCGTCCTAATCCGGAGCCTTCCCCACAATTCTTCCAAGGACTGCGCGATTATTGGCGTCTCATTTTCTTTAATGGGCTAAACCTGGTCCCAGATTCTATGCTCCACCGGGCCGTGCCAGTAGAGGGAGCTATAGCAGTAGCTATAGCTGCAGTTTCAAACCCCCAACCTAGACATTACATAGGAATGATTTTTTTTTTTTACCTTTCTCTTCCCTTAACCAGTACTGCATTTTTAGCTTTAGGTTCGAGCACTGAATCCAAATCATTGAATTCACAACTTTCTCCCTGCAAAATGCCGCATCTAGTATACCGAGTCCACAACCAACATACACCCCTGGTATTAAGTCTCCAACCCTATCCACGTAGGTCTATCCCACAATGAAAAAAGAACAGACAACCTGCAGGGTTATGAGGTATTTCCCAACCCACCAAGCAGTTCCTCACGGACCAAGTACCTAATCGATTTCCAGCGATCAGACCATCCCCAACCGTGGAACCTCCCGCCTTAATTTGTCACGTCGTGACCACGGTGCGATGTCATAGCCCTGGAGCCCTCAGTAGATCCTAGGCCAGGCCCTTGTGTGATGTATGGAAACAGGTACTTTTGTACTCTTGGTTGCAGGGGAGAAAAACTCTGCTGTTTCTGTTTAGTCTTTGAAATTTCCTTGATTTCGTATCTCGGTCTCGAGTTGCCTCAGGACTGTTTCCAACTCATACTGGTCACGCGGTGCGATAGGCTTCCTTAGCTAAATTGCAATTCGGAAATAAGGTTGACTTGACTGCTATAACTACATAGTTTCCTCTTGTAAATTTAAGGTTGGTATCGTGCGAAAGAAAGTAAATTGAAATTGAAGTGCCCCGTGCCATGCGGAACTTGTGGTTGTCTTCCCGTCCCTGCTTGGTCCTCCCGATGAGGCGTTCCCGGGATTATGGACCAACGGCGATCGTGCAGGATCGACTTATTCTTTGAAGGGTACCTACATACTTAGTGCATTGATCTCTTACCAGCCCCCAGAGATGATATTGTAAATATTAAGTAGGGCAACTTGAATATAATGTCTATACACAAACCTCAAATTAAAAAGCCCAGAAACCCAAAGAGTAACCGACTTTATGGGTGGAGAGAAAAAGAGTGGACTGTAGAATCCCAGATTTGCGGGGTTAAGGTTGCAGCTCGGCAAACCAAGCCCTGACTTTAATTGGCCAATAACAAACTAGCGCCCGCACTGACCCATGAATAGTATAGAGTCCATCAATACCTCTACCACGGCCGAAAGACAAGTCCAAGGGCAGGGTACCAACGGTTGAGGCCTGGGTATTGCCGGCAAAAAGACATTTTGAATCATACCTCAGAACTCTAATTCTCGCCTGGTGGAGTAGAGGGGCATCCCCGTGCCGCTCCAACGGGGGGCTAAGACTAGCTCCACCCAGTGAACGCTTGCCTGAATATGGGTTAGCGCTAGGGTTCGCATAGTTGGTTCTGGTTGGACTAGATTGCAACGCTGGCCCCGTGCACGTTTGCAGAGGGATGATTGGTGGCGATTTTTCTTTTTCCGCTGGTTTTGTGGCTTAGGGATCCAGTGGGTGGCCTGTCATATTGACAGATTGGGATGGGGTTGACCTCCAAGGTCGGTTATAGGCCCACGGGTGATGATAGTGATAGTGATGGATAGCCCGGAGGTTGCGCGAGTTCTGGACTGACTCATCTCTTTGCCTCGTTGGGGCTTGCGTACCTGCGTTTGATTAAGGCCGATCAGGTCATGGGGTCCAGATCGGCCGATTTGGGAAATGCGCTATCGTGTGCTATTCGTTAGATTGATTGGTTTATCTCTTACATGCATGGTACCTCTAATCGACCAAGCTGACTTCGGGATACCTCAAAATTCTCGTAATTCCTACTTCAAAGTTGCCTGAACCTCTTCCAAGTCCTTCCTAATCGAGACGCCTCTAAAAATTTGCCCAGCCACAGTTCCCAATTCGCCCGGAAATGTGCCAAGGGATGGATAAAGGTGTCTATTATGAGCGCCCAATCCGATCTCTCGGTGCGTAGTGGAGCAAAAGTAGCTTCAGACGAGACCCGATCGCATGGGCGGAGTGACTGTGGATGCGTTCGTGTTCCCCAGATTTAGAGAATTGACGATCTTTGTGATTCGGTCTAAGCATTATTCCTCTGAATTTAGTACATATCCCCGTTTTTGTTTGGCTATATATCTCGTTAAGGAGCTATCGATATCACTGGTTCTTCGTGTAGAATCAATTTCGTGACAGACATTGGACATTATCTTTAGATCATGGTCTCGATCTAGCCTAATTCCAGTACAAAGAAGCAATATCTTTTAGTCCAAATCAGCCTAGAGAAAACTGTGACCCACATGCCACCCTTGCAAATAGGAGGATTAACTAAAATATGACGGGCGAGTGAGAGGCAGGAAGAAGCCAAATCCCGAAAATGAACCGACTTACACCCTGCAGCTGATCAGACGCCCCCTACCCGAGTCATACTCAAACGCAATTCAACGCAAAATGCCATTTAAATGACGGAATACGAGGGCCAAGAGCACATTGGATCGGTCTTGTCCGATCATGCTGGATGTGCAGGAGTGGATAATTCATCATTGCGTGAGTTCACGCCGCTGGACAGTGCTGGATGGGACGCAATAAGACTGCTTTACGAATGCCGGAAATGCTTCTCCGTGTGATGGGAGTGGGGGTTTTTTTTCTGTGGAGCTCCGGGTTTTGTCCGAGGGTATGCCTGATCGGCGTGGGATGTGGGTTTCGTCGGCTTTGTCCGATGATTGTCGATCTTAACTTAGTGTGGGTGTATAGATCTGGTTCATCCGGTAAGATAGAGACTCAAAATTCAGACGTGATAAATTGCAAGGTCTACTGGGATCCAGGCGAGGGACTACGTAGGGAGATGGTCAATTGGAAGTTGTTTGGTAATGTTGATCCACAATGGAAATCACATCCGCTGCTGAAGACGATAAGGAGAGGCTGGGCAAGTCCGAAGCTCCATCCGCTTGCCTCCTATCCTGTTAACTAATGAAGTGGGACAGTATCCATAACTAGTGGGGGTGGCTAGCATTGGGCTTGCTACAGACCCAAGCACGTCGGACAAAGCAAGTGCGTATGTCGGGGTTTCAAAATACAGATGTACTGAGAACATGCTCTGCAATAGAGAATAGAGCCCAAGTACAAAACGCAGTGTATGCTTTTACATGCCACCACGGCTGAAAAGCTCCCGGCCAATATCGCCGCTGCGGCGGACACTTTGGCTTGACGAACTACTGCGTCGGCGGCGGCTACGAGACTCCGCGGGGTCAGCTGGGTTCAGCCCGCTGGCTCGGGCATGCAAGTTCAGGATGTCAGTCAAGCTGACTACTCCAACTAGCCGCCCGGACAGTCGGGCTCCGTCTAGGGCGGAGGAGGGGATAGAATGCGAGACGGGCGATGGCACTGGGACCGACACGCCTGGGGCTGGGTATGTGTAGGGTGGGTTAGGGGTTGGTAGGTGAGGAGCGGTGTATTGAGACGGCTGTGCAGAAGGTGTCACGGGCGCAGAAGGAGACGGTGGTGGTGAATTTGCAATATACGATCCGGTAGCTGGGCTGATGCTGTTGGAAAGAGGGATGTGTACTGAAGACTGCGATGGAGTTGGCGGTCCTGATGAGGTTGGAGATAACGGATCGGTCACCCAGAGCCTGAAGAGGCAGTCAGTACATCTTCTCTTTATATCTCAAATGTGCAGTAGTTACCGATGTGATCGGGTTGCCACGAGCTTTGCGACTGTGTGAGCCAGTGTCGATCCAGGATTGACGTGGAAGACCGGGAATGAGTCTTTACCCTCAATCAACCCCCGTGTGGACAGAATAACCGAGATGAAGTGAGTGCAAGTGTTTTGAAGAAGCGGCAATGAAGATGATCTGGTCAAAAGCTGTGAAATGGTGAGTAAGTCTTGCTAGCCAAGATGGGCTGTCACATACCTTAACATCCGCTGTGGAGATATTCCCAAGAACGTTTAAGTAGTTATCAACAACCACGATCGAGGACATGCCCTCGTTGTTCATCATATGAAGAGCATCCGAGAGGGGTTTATCACCACTGCAAACGACAAAATGGTGGTTAGATTGCTCTTCAATAGTTCATCGAAACAACTTACTTGATTGAGATCACTTCATGAGATCCAATAACCAGCTCACGCAGAGCCTTCGGGTAGAGCTCTTCAATGATCGGGAAGCTGCGGCCGTTTTCCCAGAGGAATTTGACCAGTCGGAACTGGCTGAAAATCCCGACCACCTCTTGGTCATTTGACTCGTTCACCACCACAACCCGGTGAACACCACCGCCGAATATCTCAACTGCGGCCAAGACATTGGCCGATGCCGGCAGTTTGATCAGCGGTTCCTTCTCCATACCGAACTTCTTGACATCTCTCAGGGGAATAGGTACGCCGTCGTGAGCTTTCTTGGCTAGCTCTTCATATGACGCTTGATGCGCTTCGTCGGGGTGTGTCAGGCCGGCTGCCAGCAGGAGATAGGAGTTGAGATCGGCATAGTCGAATGTGCCGACGGCAGACGTGGCTTCAGGTGTCTCGCGGATCAACAGCACAGCCGCACCTGAATCAATCAAGATCTAGTTGGACGAGCATGTTAGTCCAAGGACAGGGGTGTTACCTTTGTGATGCACTCACATTCGTCGCATCTTCGATGCCCGTATCAAGCTCGACAAACTTCAGGTCATCCGGGCTGACCAGCTCGCCAATTGAGATCTCTCTCCAATCACGACCAACAAAAGCAGGGTTGCTGGTCTTCGGAAGCGGGGGATTGTCGATGAGGCTCTGGACTGCGGACTGTGGGAGGGACGGCTGCCGGCGTGCGCGGGGAGAGCCGGGTGGGCCACGAAGCGACTCGCTCAAGCTTTGTCTGTGCTGGTGGTTTGCTGAAACGCGGAGCTGGTTTCGTGTAGAGGGAGAGCGGGATTCGGTGCTAGATCGTGGAGAAGCAATGGATACATTGTTGAGGGAAGTGTCGGACCCTTGGCGGGAGTGCAAGCGGTCCGCCATTTCTGTCAAAAATTCTCCGAAGTTTAGCCAAAGACAAAGGTCAACAATATGTTGCGAAATGTGAAATGCAGTTGATCCTACTGAGGTCATCAGGTGATGTTGATCATATTAAGCGGGTCCGTAAGCGGGGTAAACCATTGAGCCAATCAAAATAGACCAATATCAACTGGATGCACCTGGGAAGGCATGTACTGTTGTATGTCTATCTAATCCTTGAAATATATTTCAGACTTAGAGAAATGTTAGGCCGTGAGAACGCTGACTATGTGGGAAACTCGTCAGACTACTTCCTCAATTAGAACTGTTCTAGACATCGATGTTCAAGATGTTATGGCCTTATCACGGCAACGGCGTGGGCTACAAGAGGGCTAGGGACGTCTCAAATCGCTAGAAATATTAGGAATTTTAACTCGGTTAAGAAAGATAGGAGAGTTTCATAGCCTAGCTCTAGGCTGGCTATCATATGTTACTCGAAAGCTTAGCCAACTCCGGGAGATTAATGTTGTCTTTTTGCCCGAATAGTCGAATTGTCTATGGATGTCCACGGGTACTCTTTAACATTATATAATATAGCCAAGACATCAGTATCTTAGAACAGGTAGTAGCCTTTCTGTTACATCCAAGTTTGACATGACAAATTAATCAAAGATGCAATGAGCAACGCCAAAGCTCCCACGGGGGACAGCTAAAATGGCCCGTGCACAGAGGTCAGTCGGAAACCTGCATTGTTCCCAGACCCCCCACAAGTATATCTTCGGTGCGAAGTCCGCATTTTTCGGATGGGACAAGTCATGCTCGTCAATTCTGTTCGACTGGATGAATGTCTGATGCAAACACTGCAAATTCGGTTTTCCAATCACTCCAACCTCAATTGAGCACACATTATGGATGTCGAACTAGCCTCTCCGCCGGCGGTAAGCGCCTTGAGAGAAACATTTGGTGATCGAAAGCCCCCTGATATTACTCGGAAGATTACTGCTTGTGTAGCATGTCGAAAGCAAAAGGTTAGTTTATTGCCGGAGTTGCCACAATGAAACAAGTAACTGACCTACGGGGAAGGTCAAATGCCATATGCGTGAAGGTCAGACTCCATGTTCGCGGTGCAAGAAGAGAGGTCTCCCCTGCAACGTGAATAGAAGCTTGCAGACATTACTGGAAGACGATGTCACGTAAGTACGACGAAATTCTTGCACTGTCATTTCCTAATAGGTATCTAGATGGAAAGGGGCCGTGGTGCAAAAGATGCGGTCGCTAGAAGAGGCTGTTGCAAGGATTGCTGCCAAAGTTGACATGCCCGAGTTGCAAGCTTTGCAAGCTGCTCCTGAAATACAAGATGGTTCTCCACCTGAAGCTATTAATGAAGAAGTCACGGGAGAGACCTCCACCTCAAGTCAGCCATCTCAGCCAAAGGAGGATCATGAGCAACCGCAGACATGGGAAGTGGTAATGGACCCCCGGGGAGGCCCAGCTTCCATCCCAGCTTCTTGCCTCTCAGAAAGTGGGAAGGCAGGTCTACCAAACGGTGTATCAACTGCCCGTCGTCCAGACTTGATATCCACGGGACTTATCTCGTTACGCCAAGCCGTTGCATTATTCGAAACATATCATCTCAGACTTGATCATTTCCTCTATCGCATTCTTGGCGACCATATTAGTTTGGACTCGGTTCGGATCGCATCCCCACTGTTAACCACGGCTGTTTGTACCGTGGCTGCTTTGCATTCTCACTCCCTCGGTCATCTCTTTGAAACCTGCTACGGTGAATATAAGAACCTTGTCGCGGCCCGAACTTTCTCAAGGCATTTGAATGAAGATGACATTCGTGGCCTGTGCATTGGTGCGTTTTGGTTGCATGAACTTTCATGGGCCTTGATCGGAAATGGTATGTGGCTGGAATCTCCTGGTAAAATGAAGCTGACAGAACTAGCTGTCCGCGTTGCATCGGACATTAATCTTCATAGTGGTATCTACAAGGCCCTCAAAGGAGACCGCGATGGTTATCTTCAAGCCCGACTATATTATCTGGTCTATGTATGCGATCACCACTTTTCAATCGCCTATGGTCGGCCGCCGATGTCCAGAGAAGGCTTCATAATCGAGTCGGCTAGTCGATTACTAGAGACCAAACATGCCACAGAAGATGATGCTAGACTAATCAGCCAAGTAAAAGAATGGTCAATCCTGGGTCGAGTCTTTGACAACTTCGGAGTTGACGTTGATACCCCTATTGCGCCTCGGACACTCCCTCAACTGCGTCGATGCTCCATCTCTCTGGATACGTGGTTTGCAGATTGGAACGACAGCTTCAAAGTGAATCGGAATGTCGGAAATTATCCGCAAAAGGGCGTTGGTTTTCACTTCCATTTTGCAAAGCTATATCTCTGCTCGCACGCCTTCCGCGGTGTACCGACCTTAGAGACTGCACCTCAATACATGTCGCCTGAATTGGAGGAGATTGCCAATGCCGGTGTATTGTCAGCTATGTCAATCCTTCGAGTGATTGTGAATGATGCCGAATTTCGATCGTTCATGAATGGACTTCCTTTGTATTTCGACACTATGCTCGCGTTCGCCGTTGTCTTTCTCCTCAAAGTTGCCACGAAGTATGCATCCATGATCAGAATTGATACGGGCAAGATCCTTTCCCTGGTCACTGAGACTGTGGCTGCCCTTCGGGATATCACCCAATCTATGCATAAACACCATCTCCTTGTGGTAATTAGCGAAGGCTTGGAACGGCTGTTGAGTAGATGCCAGGTGTCTACTCACACAGTTCACGAAACAATGTATCGTCCTTCTCCTGCCCAGGAGCAGCCCCCAGTCTTTGATTCAATTTGGATGGAAAATATGGCAAGCTTTGATTTCCAAACGAACTTTCCTGACGTTGATGACTGGTGGCTACATTATAATACATCGATGGGACCCCCTCTTTGCCCTGAGGAATCGAGATAGCCAGATATCAGATTGACCAGTTGAGAACCAGATCAAGCAGGTCATAGTTTCTCCAGTCTTTAGCCTGAGCCTTGCTCCCATTGTCCATCGGTTTTGACATAATTAGTGGGACCTCTTGCTCGCTTAGGCCTCCAGCGACCGTAATGGATGGTCTTTCACCTTTGAAAAGCCATGATCTGCTTTGCAGCTGCCAATGACGGCATGTGGCCTGGAAATAACCACAGTCGCCCTCTCGGTCCGAAGGCATCTCCTATATTTGGGCGGCATCTTGCCCGCTGAGAGCAACCTCGACATATGGGGGTGACTCGCAGCAGAACGCCTCTCTCAATACCAGACTTTAGGTATTCTGAATCGAAGCCGTCAATTCAAATTACGACTGTAGGCTGTGTGGGCAGGCTATATTCTTTCGAATGTAGAGTAAATTTCGACCGGGAGTCTAGATTGATGTTCAGTGTCTATGTTGGGAAGAAGGTCACGATCATACTGACCAATGAGACATTGATAGGCAAGTTCCTCATAGGCTTCCAGATCAGGGACTTTCAAATTCGGCCTTTTCGCGAGATCATCACATCGTCTGACAGAAAGCTTTGCCTCCAGCAGGGGATCCTGTTGCGCCTCCCGGACCTGCTCGGTATTGTATCCGCCACCCTAATCCTCGTTAATATACTCCAAATATCGAGATAAGAAGTGAAAGGTGATTTATATACCTGGAATTTCAATGTCCGCTTACTGGTCTCACTCAATGCATCATAATAGCTTTGATCTGTCGCGACCAAATATCGCTTAGCCATTACATGCGCACCAACCAACTTGCACACCTTCTCACTGAACCCAATCTGGCGCAGATAAGTCTCTCCCAGAGCCTCATGGCTTTGTCTTCCAATATATTGGCCGTCGGGAGTGATCATTTTCTCGATCTTCTCGGCCGCGGGAATGAACCGTCCGACATCATGCAAAAGTGCAGCCAGTATGACCTCGGGGTCATTGCCATGTTTGGGGCACTGCGTGGCAAGAAATGCGCACTGTAGCGAGTGCTCTAGTTGAGTCACTTGCTCGCCGAGGTAGTCACCCTGTCCCTGTGCGTGCAGAAATTGGAACAATGTTTTAATGGTTGCTCTGGTGTGTTCCTCGACCGAGGCGAGAGGTCGCTCAGTCTTGGGGGTTGTTATCTTCATGTCCATTTTGAAGTATATTTTTTGCGATTGTGTTCAAGAAATGGTTCGGTCTTAAATAGATCGGTCGTTCATATAGTGTCTTGATGACATATTAGAAATCCTTGTGGCATTGCTGAAAATGCATCAAGGCATGAAGTCCGTCTGTGCACGTCCATTTGAGGATCTTCTAACTTACCCCTCTGGTAACTCATGATACTCTCCAAGATACGTGAGCGAATCGCATCGGCACGAAGCCCGTTGGTCTGTGCTGCATCCTAAGGGTTTCTGTGTGGCTTCGGCACGAACGCCTTCACTTAGTTCCCATAACTTATTGACAAATGCAGGGCTTAACTCATGGGGCAATTGAGGGCCCATTGGAATGGCCCCGCAGTCTAAGATGTTGACGCATTTCGAAACTATTTAAAGCTCGTTGGTTGCTACATTTTCACTTTGACTGTTCCATCATCGCTTAATTCTGTGGTTCCAACGGATTACTCAAAGATGTCACCTCTCACACCTGAACAAATAGCTTCCTACCATGAGAATGGTTACCTCCTCCTACGCGCCGACGAGCATAAACTCGTTGATCCTGCAGAGCTCAAGCGATGGACGCAAGAAGTCCAGGCCTGGCCTCGTGTCAAGGGCAAATGGATGCCCTACGACGAAATCAACATCAACGGCGAACGCCAACTGATGCGCACGGAAAGGTTCATTGACTACCACCCCGAGTTCAAGTCACTGGTCTGCGGCGAACAGCTGGCCGAGATTCTAAAGGCAGTCTCAGGCGATGTATCTTCTCCAGGTCCCCAATACCGAAGATCTATTAGGAGAGCATGCTAATGTGAAGCTCCTAACTGTAGGATATGCTCCTCTTCAAGGAAAAGATAAACTACAAACAGCCCCAAGGAAACGGCTTCGAAGCGCACCTGGATGCACCAGCCTACGACCACATCGGCCGCATCGAGCATCTTACCGCCAACATAGCCATTGACGCTGCGACTCCTGAAAACGGATGCCTGGAAGTTGTGCGCGGGTCACACAAGATCGAGGTTGAATTTGCGGAAGGTGGCCGAATCACGTCTGAATGGGAGCTAGCGCACGAATGGACTTCTGTTCCTCTTGAAATGGGTGATATGCTGATATTTGGGTCTCATCTTGCCCATCGCTCGGCTGAGAACAACACTGGTAAGAGTCGGTCGAGCCTCTATGCTACCTTTCACTCGAGGAGCGACGGGGAGGATCTTAGGGAGCAATATTACAAACATCGCCTGGAGGTGTTCCCACCTGAGCATGGTGAGTTATCCTTTGGAAGTTTAGTGTTCAGACGTTTGAGGAGCGACTTGCTGATATAAATGTCCTAGAGCGTGAGGAAGGCAAGGATTACTCTAAAGGCTACGAGACGTATGGCTTTGCGGCGCCTTTCACCAAAGCCCAGGACAATATTCCTGCGACTGTCGATGTCGTTTAGGAGGTACTCGCATGAATATCACTTTTGGTTTATCAGATTCAAACCGTTCATTGCGCAGCTTTCGAATACCGGACTGAGGAAATGAGCCTAGCACTTTTATCTATTTGACAAACTTCTCGAAGATCATAGGCGAATAATTTGCCTCCTGCGCCAGCAAATGCAAAGGGAACATCCAATTATTTTCGTAGCTAAAAGAATCTCGAGATTCTGAATCAGTGCTACGAATGTGTTTGATCAAACTGGCTTAAACAAGTCACAACCACACTCTAGTTGGTAAGTAAGCTGTGTACAAGGTATATAGTATGTATACAATAGTATTGTCAAACACCTAACTCCACCCAAAAATATGAGCCGAAGTTGTCGATAGGAAGACATGTAAATATATGTACTCAATCATCCTGATATGATGGCACAACCACATCTCCTACCATCACCGTCCTGCGGTCAGGTAGTTCGGAGTCAAAGCCCTCTAACTCCTCCGGAGAAAGTGCAGAATATTTGCCAAATTTGACCTTCCCATCAATGTTTCGCGTCTTGGCAAGCGTTGAAAACGGCTCAGCGCGTCGAATGCCAGTGAACTGGTCTATACAAACCATTTGACATCGCTGACATGCATCGAGAGCATCGAACCGAAGTTGGTCTGGTCCAATTCGAAGGGATGACCACCGGTCCTCCGCATATGGTTGTTCCACATCGCCACGGTGAGCAAGTCGTTCAGCGACGACAATGTTACCGCGGAAGACGTCTGCAGCGACAGTTTTACTGCTGCCATTCTTGCTGTTTGCTTTGATGGTCTCATTCAGTCGGTTGACAGATGAACGTGAAACCACTAGAATCGGCGACTCGTTGGATAACGTGATTAGTGTCTGGCCACCCTCACGCACCGGGGGAGGGAAGTCAGGTGGGAATGAGCCTGGCATGATTAGCTTGCGGAAACGGTTCTTCCACGTATTCGGCGTCCGTTGCAGCTGTGAGTACCGGCTAGTTGTCTGCGTAGGGAATCGTGCGAGAGTACAAGGCACTCCGAGGAAGTCCGAGAAGAATGCCGAGACCACTGGGGACGTGTAGGCATGGAGAGAAATTCGGTCACCGCAGACTGTTGTAGGCCTTTTGGTCGAGCTTGGACAGAAGGATGTGGAGATGAGACTTGTGTCCTCCCAGCCAAGTGAAATCTCAAGGCTGACTTGATCTGGCGCGGCAATTGCACCGCAAGTAATACGGAGAACTCCTCTTTCAATCTCAATCGAGGGTCGTATGAGACACATGCGAGGGTATCTAGCAGTGTTAGTTAAGCAAATTCGTATACTTTGTTCCGGCACAACATACCTTTTCTGATTCAGGGCTGCGCCAGTCCCTTGATGAATCAAACACCATTCTCTATCCCAAGCCAGTCCCTCTTTCTTCACTTCCCAACGCTTTCCCTCGGGTATCTTGAAAGCACCGCAACTCTTGATTGGGAACACTGCTAGGCTTTCGACATAGAAATGAGGGGCAACGACCTCATTGTCTTCTGTCAGAGGATCAAGGGCCACTATAGGTGGACTCTTCTCCACGTAGAACTCCTCGACAAAGTTTAACAAGGAGTCTATATCCTTCATGTTCGTCGTGGCACCGATACTGACACGCAGAATTCCTGTTGGTCGCCCTCCCAGAACATCATGGGTATCACCACAACGTAATCCCGCAGAGTAATGCCGGCGAAGCTCAGGTCCGGTCCACCCAAGTGATGAGGCAGTTCCTCCTGGATTGCAAACGGACCCAGTGCGTATCTGCAGATCTTGCACCGTAGCCAATTTTTCTACCTCAGTTTTAGGAACCCATTCACCGCGACTATTGCAAAGATTGAACGCAATAATCGGACCTTGGGTACGCGAATCACCGTATGTTGAGGTGTACGGTTGATAAATTTGACAGACTTTCCTCTCATTGAAATGCGCCAATGAAGAAAGCCTATCATAGACTTGCTTTGCTAGGAACTCAGTGTGGGCCGAGATGTTCGCCATCGAACCAAATAAGCGCTCGTGCGTGTCCAAGGCCGTGTCCAGGGCAATGATATTGTGGAACGGGAGAGTTCCATCCTCTAGCCGCTCATGGATGGAAGTTTCTTTCTTCGCATGCCATTGCACCCCAGTGGCCAGGACCATGTCGACGGTGCCTCCGCCAAAATACTTCCGTCGCTCAAAGACCCGTGCAGCACTTTTGCGGACAATCAAAGCACCCAAATCGGGAAATCCAAAGATTTTGTAGAAGCTGAGGACAGTGAAGTCTGGAGCAGAGGAGGACGGACCTAGATCAAGTGGAGCGGTTGATACAAGCGACGCAACGTCAAGCAAGGTGTATACATTTCCTCCGCTTTCCTTTGTTGCGGATCGGACCTGCTCGCACCATCGAATAGGCAGACGCCGGCCGTTCATATTGGATTGGGCTGGGTATGCAAGTAGTCTGGGCGCCTTCGACTGGTTGCCAGCCAACTTTGAAATCTCGGCTTCCATTTCATCATCACTTTGAAAACACTGGTAGCCCATCTCGGCTAACTCTCGTACCCCGACCAGACTGGTATGAGAATCAATATGGTAGCCATACCAAAATCCTCGATGGTCGGAGTCTCGAAGCGAGTCTGCGACTAGCTTAATCCCAGCAGTTGCGTTTGCCACAAAGACAAGATCGAACTCATCTGGGTCCGCATTGAAGAATCGCAATACGCGGACCCGGGCATCCTCTGTTCTTTGGGTAGAAAGCTGCGACGCTGCAGACATCGAATGAGGGTTTCCAAACAGATTAGATGTAAGATCACGCGAGAAAGACTCGACCGTGGACTTGGCATAAGGTGTTGTCCCCGCATAATCTAGGTAGGTTGTTTCTGATAGAACAGTGGTCAGCATGGATTCAGTGATATCAGATGGACACTCGTACGATTTAGTAGAGGGTACTCTTGGTCTCGGATTGTGTCCACATCGGCGGAGTAACCTTGACTATACTTGGGATGGGCGGAACCCTGGAAGGTTGATTCCATCATTGTTGAAGTTCAACTTTAGACAGATGCACCCAGAGTGTGTTGTACTTTGTACAAACAAGGTGGCAAATTGTGAAAGGTAGGACTTTCTGTATCTTTCTAGCAGCACAATCAGCACATAATGAATATTCAAGGGACCCAGAAATATATAGTTAAATTGTGCGACTGTGTAATATCAAATGGATTTGAAGAAAGAGGTGGGGAAGCCTTACCAGATATAAGACAGCAGACAGTTATATTCTCATCGGAGGTCACCGATACCAACAAATCAACTAGCCCGGGTGTGATTTCCAGTCCACTGCAAAGAGATAGGCTATCGGAGGTTTGGAGAAAAAGCACATTCCAAAGATCTGGCAGGTGGCTTTTATAGGTTATTTTCAACTTCTCAAGTGCTGTGAAGTGACGAAGAATGTCTTGAGATTCCCCTCGCATGTGACCCCGCAATATATCGGACGTGGCAATAGATGTTTTATTATAGAGCCTCATCGCCACGGCGATTGTTATCACCTTGTCGCACGCACTATTGGGCACTATATACACGTCGATCTAGATCCATACACGGGACTCCACTACGTCGTGATACTCATGCACCTCATGCATAATATCAGGTTTACTATACCTTTTACGGTCACGGACATTGCCATCGGGGAGATATATTTACCTCAGCCGACACGTTCACGAGTACATCTGTATGTACTATTGAAACTAATGAGCAAACCCCGCCATGATAGTCCACAATCACATTGTTCGCTATAGACTCCCAACCAACCATTAGGCATTTCTTTGATGATTATATCTCTCAGGTTCCAATAGCCGCCACCGATGCACAATGCGCAACCCAACCTGCATGGTTTTCTAGGATCCTGCTTAAGCTAAAGCAGTAGCTTTAGTCTCATCACAATGTCGGCTTACCAACTCGTTTTATTCTATTCATATACGAAAAGTGTGCCTGATTTCGTTGATAATGCATTGGGCTGAAAACATGTAGCCTTAAGTTAAGTGGAATACACTAAACAATCCATGTCAGTACGTCTGAGTCAAGTGCCAACGCTGTAGACACATCAATATCGTCATTGCGCAAAAATGGCCTGGAACACAGCCACTGTAATATCTCAAATTGTTTCCGAGGCTGAACTGAGGCTGAACTGCTCCACACCACCATAGGGTGCGTGTGGAGTATACTATTGACTAATGTTTCTCAGGTTCAGCTCACCGTAGCTTCCTATGCTCCGCTTGGAAATTTATCGCGAGATTCAACGTCTTCAGCCGGGAGCAAGTAGGTTTCTTATTGGTATTGAGGATGACGAAAAACAACAGCGGCCAGATACATATAAATGACTTTCTTGGGCACCATTGGGCGATGTGACCGTAGATTGTATTGTACAGATGGGGTTGATAGTATACTTCAAAAACAAAACTCCGTCCCAAGCTCCTGATATGGCTCGTACAAGTATTTGTGTCGATCCAGTTCGCGTTGGAATCGACAGAGCATTGGAAAGCCAGAATGAACAAACTGGCAAAAATAAAGAAGGGAAATAAGAAGATGCGACGGTGGTGGTCGTGAGGGGTTCCCATTACCGCTTGGGCCATTGTCTCCAGCCACGGCCATGACCTCTCTGGTGCGCCGAGAGTCAGCATTGCTCCAATCACGTCAGGAAGGACCAATCGAGTACTAACCTGCTTCCACAGCCTGACCATTTCCGGCATTCCCTCCATTGCTTTGCGACGATCCTCGAGACGCGACTCCATGGTGCGCTCCCACTTGTGACCCTTGACCTTATGGCCAACACCAGTTCCCTTGATTTGCAAGCCACGCTCCGCACGCCGTGTCTCCTTGAATTCAGGTGACTTGCGACTAGGAGGAAGAAGTGCCTCCACATTGTATTTGATGGCAAGCTTCATTAGATCTGCTTGCTGACGCAGCCCATATTTCGGTGCTTCCCATTTGCCGAATCGCTTGTGCGGAAGAAATGGGTTGCGGAGTTCGTTGCTGGTCACGAGGAGTGCACGCGAAGGAGTCCAGCCATACTTTTTCTCTCCTGGGGCACCCTTCGCGTCACGGTCTGGCGTGTATGGGGATTCCACCTTCATTGGTACATAGCCCTCCCCATTGGCAGGGGCAGGGCGACGGACGGCTGCGGAGTGGGTTTGTGGAGGATACCGAGCGAAGAAGTTCACCAAACGTTGAGGAAGGTTTTCCAACAGTGTGCCTGCCTGCTTCGAAACCGACATGGTGGACCAAGATGGGCTGTGATCCTAATGTGCACAGGTAGTTCCAACAACGTTGCTTGTGAGTGTTCTGGGTCAAAAAGTTGATACCGCCCGGGCTCGCCGCCAAGCCATTGGCATTATGCCTCAGGCGACAAGGCACCAAGCGGTATTTGCGCCTTATCTCCAAGGTGTCAACGGTATTTCTGCCATGCCTTACCTAAGGCTGAGCTTGCCCAGCTGGTCCCGTTGACGGGTCTCGAGGTCATTGTCTACACCGCCTTCAATTACACCGCCTTCGAATCCGTAGCGGTGGGCCACAGATGCTCGCCTCAGGCATCAAGCAGAACTTCCTATCTTCGGCTTGCTTTTCAGTCTCGTTTCAGCCCCAAGAATTTCTTCCCTTCGGAATCTTCATTGTTACCATCGCTGCTCTCTTATTAATACCTGCAATTTCATCCATATTGTTTTATTCCGGGGTCTCACCTTCTCGCGCGCATCCTCAGCACGGCAACGACCATGGCCGACTATCAGTATGGAGGCTCCGAAGAGGAGAATGCGGAGATCAGAAATCTCGAGGCTCAGCTGGTACTTGTTCCACACGCATTTACGTGCCTGTCCCTTGTCAACTGACATGTTTATCTTTTACAGGTTGATGATCCTGACAACTTCGAAACCTGGGAGAAGCTGGTTCGCGCCGCGGAGGCCCTTGAGGGTGGAATAAATCGCAATTCCAGCCCCCAGGCCATCACCACTGTCCGCACAGTTTACGACCGATTCCTCGCTAAGTTCCCTTTGCTCTTTGGATACTGGAAGAAGTATGCCGACCAAGAGTTCTCTATCACCGGCACTGAGGCCGCTGAGATTGTATGCACACTCCTTGGGCACCAGCCTCCTCTTTTCCATGGCTTTGTACTAATCTTGTCGTTATAGGTCTATGAACGGGGCATTGCTAGCATCTCGCCATCCGTTGATCTCTGGACCAACTATTGTTCGTTCAAGGCGGAGACTACGCACGAGGCCCATATCATTCGAGAGTAAGTGAGAGTAGAGATGGTCTTCTTCCCTTCCCTGTAACCGTTACCGACGCAGCTCGCGGAAGTTCTCGTGGTGACGGTCACATGTTTCCTGGATGTTGAAATATCCAGTCAGTCTCGTTGTTGATGGGTGAGAGACCGCTCGCTACTTTGCTTCCTTGGTCCAAGTGGAGTTTACTTCTCACCCATAGCTCACTCAGGCTGAATTTTTCCTCTGATTTGCCAAATCAGCACCATGCATTGAAGGCCAAGAAATAGTCTCGTTCGATGGCCCTTTACGGAGCACTGGATGCCCACCTATCCCTTAACTTCGTCCACCGCACTCGTTTGATTACTTGGGTGTTCACAAACGGACAGAGTTTACTGGTCATGATTGCGATCTTCGTTGTCCTGTTCCTGTCTCCTACCACTCCTATCCCACCCATCAGCCCCATGTGTCCGCAACATGCTAACTTGTATACCAACCAGTCTTTTCGAACGGGGTGCAAACAGTGTGGGTCTTGATTTCCTGTCCCATCCCTTCTGGGATAAGTACATTGAGTTCGAGGAGCGGATTGAGGCTCACGATAAGATCTTTGCCATTCTTGCACGTGTCATCCACATTCCCATGCACCAGTACGCTCGCTACTTCGAGCGGTACCGTCAGATCGCGCAGACCCGCCCTTTGTCCGAACTCGCCCCGGCCGAGGTCATCGCCGCTTTCCGCGCCGAAATCGAAGCTGCGTCGTCCCAGCCGGCTCCTGGCGCCAAGGCTGAAGCCGAGATCGAGCGCGATCTCCGACTTCGCGTGGACAGTTACCACCTGGAGATCTTCACGAACACTCAGACTGAGACGACCAAGCGCTGGACTTTTGAATCGGAGATCAAGCGTCCCTACTTCCATGTTACTGAGCTCGACGAAGGCCAGTTGGTGAACTGGAAGAAGTATCTCGACTTTGAGGAAGCCGAGGGTTCGTTCTCCCGAACTCAGTTCCTTTATGAGCGGTGCCTGGTTACTTGTGCCCATTACGACGAGTTCTGGTTCCGATACGCTCGCTGGATGGCCGCTCAGCCTAACAAGGAAGAAGATGTGCGGATCATATATCAGCGTGCCTCGTATCTCTACGTCCCGATTGCCAATCCCACTATCCGACTCCACTATGCCTACTTCGAGGAGGTGTCAGGCCGTGTGGATGTGGCAAAGGATATCCACAATGCTATTCTTATGTGTCTCCCCAGCCATGTAGAGACGATTATCTCACTCGCCAATCTGTGTCGTCGCCACGGAGGTCTGCAGGCGGCCATTGAAATCTACAAAACACAATTGGATTCACCAGAGTGCGAAATGGCCACGAAGGCTGCCCTTGTTGCCGAGTGGGCCCGCCTTTTGTGGAAGATCAAGGGCAGTCCTGACGAGGCTCGCAAGGTTTTCCACGAGAACCAGCGTTACTACCTCGACAGCCGACCCTTCTGGTGTAGCTATCTCGTCTTCGAAATTGAACAACCTACCAGCGAGGCTACCGAGTCGGTTCAGTATGAACGTATCAAGCAGGTCATTGCTGACATTCGGTCCAAGAGCGTTCTGCAAGTCGACGCTGTCAAGGAACTTGTGCAAATCTACATGACATACCTTCTCGAAAGAGGCAAAGATACCGCGAAGGAATACATGACCCTGGATCGTGAAATCTATGGTCCTTCATCTGTGGCTTCTGCTCGGACTGGCGAAAATGTGGCGGTGCAGCCCACCCCTGCAGACGGTCAGTTCGCTTCAATTCCTCAAATGCAGCCCACACCGGATGAGGCCGCTGCATATGCGTACTACCAACAGACGGCAGCGAACGGTACAGCCGCTTGAGACCCGAGAGTCGTGTGCACATCCCCTAAAGCCAATGACTGCAAGTATGGATACGTTTGTTCACGAATGCGTTCGTTTCTGGAGGTTCTGCTGGTGCCTTTTCTTTCGGTGTTTTATCTTCGTTACTTACCCTGGCATATTGATTCACCTGGGTGGGTGAGTTCCTTTTTCATGTAGTATCATCCCCGTTGCCCGTGCTGGGCAACCTTCCCTCCTCCCTGTTGTCTAGCGATTTTGACTCGGCTTAAAGACAGCTTCTTCTCACATTTGTCAGATGTACTAGTGCCTAGTCCCTTCTTGGGGCTTGACACAGGCTTGTGGCCAATTCGAGATTGGATCCTTCGGGACCAATTGTATTCTAATGTGGTTTGTTTTCCACTGGAAATTAATTGAACTTGTTTGAAATTGATTCATCTGGGAATGTGGTAGGAGTGTGGTAGGCTTGTTAGACTTCCACGCAACAGCAACTGGAAGTTTTCAACACATTGTAGTCGCATATGTAGAATCCTTTTGGCCTAATGTACATAGTTGCCCCAGTTCTACTATGGCGGGCTGCGAAGGTCTCTGTCATAGTAATTCAGGTATTTTAATCTCTACGAGTGTAAAATCAGACATAGATCAGGCACATTAAGGCAGCTTCCTCATGATTAGCCGTGATCACATGTAGATAGATAGTAGATAGTAGATTTATGGGTAGATATCTGCACGTGATTTGATCACGTGACTACGCGTCTGCCTCTTATCCTATTCCGTAGAAATTCAATATCGCTCCCTTCTAGTCTCTAGTATAGTGGTCTTTTTAGCCATCATTTCCCCACATACAAAGTCATGACCAGCAGCTCCGAGGTATTCCCTCCGCTCCCTCCTCCAGATCCTGCGGAGCGCCCGCCCAGCCCACCTCCGCCTCCTCCAGAAGACTTGGCCGCTCCTCCACCGCCGCCAGACAGCGTCGCCCCTCCACCTCCTCCCGATGATGTGCCACCCCCGCCCCCAGTTGCGTCCCAGAAAAAGCAAAAGGTAGGATGGGGCGCGAAGAAACCGGCTGCAACTCCACTGAGTGTGGAAGAGTTGATACGGAAGAAGAAAGAAGCAGATGCGGCGGCATCAAAGGTAAGCTTGTCCTCCGGGGATAATGAAATACTTGACGCAAGATACGGTGGCTTTTACTAACACTTACGTATAGCCTATATTTTTGTCTAAAGCTCAGCGAGAGAAAATCGCGCTGGAGAAACGGGCGCAAGAGGTTGAGGCAGAGCGGCAAGCCAAGGCCCGCGCCAACGGCAATGGTCTAACATCTGCACCATCGTCGGTGAAGCCCCAAGATTCTCGCAATATCCGGGATGAATCAGCGGTCCGTCATGTACCCACCGGGCCGCGAGCGATGCGCGACGAACCTGCAACTGGACCTGGTGGTATGCGGAAGGGAGGCCGACAGTCCAATCAACATTATCGCGACCAGGATATTCCGCCACCCCCATCTAAGAGTAAAGGCGAAAAGCGTCTAGCTGAAGAGGACGAAGCGGCAGCGCTAGCTGCCTTGACCAAGCACAGATACATGGGAGCCGACCAGACGTCTAACTTCTCGGCGAAGAAGAAGCGCAAGCGTACCGCAGACCGAAAATTCAACTTCGAGTGGAACGTCGAGGAAGACACAAGTGGCGACTATAACCCCCTATACCAGCGCCGACAGGAAGCCAACTTCTTTGGCCGGGGACGTTTGGCAGGCTTTGGCGATGATGTCGCCGGTGATGTCGCGCGCAAATACGCAGAGGCGCTGGTGACCCGCGATCACGAAGCTGGTAGCGCGCGAGCCAAACAAATGCTGGAGATGGAACGCCGTCGACGCGAGGACAGTACCCGCACGCAGATTGACAAGCATTGGAGTGAGAAGCGCCTGGACCTCATGCGCGAGCGAGACTGGCGTATCTTCAAGGAAGATTTCAACATTTCCACCAAAGGCGGCAGCGTACCAAATCCCATGCGTTCATGGGAAGAGAGTCATCTGCCAAAGCGCTTGTTGGAGCTTGTTGAACGTGTCGGATACAAGGACCCAACAGCTATTCAGCGCGCATCAATCCCCATTGCCATGCAGTCGCGTGACCTGATTGGTGTCGCCGTGACAGGTTCCGGTAAAACCGCTGCATTCCTACTCCCACTTTTGGTCTACATCTCGGCGTTACCGCGGCTTGACGAGAACGAGTGGCGCAAAAACGAAGGGCCATACGCTATTGTTCTAGCACCCACACGTGAATTGGCGCAGCAGATCGAGATTGAAGCCAAAAAGTTTACACAGCCCCTTGGATTCAACGTGGTCAGTATAGTCGGTGGTCACTCGCTTGAAGAGCAAGCATTCAGCCTGCGCAATGGCGCCGAAATTATTATCGCCACCCCTGGTCGTCTGGTTGATTGTATCGAGCGTCGCATGCTAGTCCTCAGCCAGTGCTGCTACGTGATTATGGACGAAGCAGATCGTATGATTGATCTTGGATTCGAAGAGCCTGTCAACAAGATCCTGGATGCCCTCCCCGTCACGAACGAAAAACCCGATACAGAGGAAGCCGAGAATTCAATGGCGATGAGCCAACACCAGTACCGCCAGACCATGATGTACACAGCTACTATGCCAGCGGCAGTCGAACGCATCGCCCGCAAGTATCTCCGCCGACCAGCCATTATCACCATCGGCGGCGTCGGCGAAGCCGTCGACACAGTTGAGCAGCGTGTGGAGATGATCTCCGGCGAAGACAAACGCAAGAAACGCCTCGCCGAAATCCTCTCATCGGGCGACTTCCGCCCCCCGATTATCGTGTTCGTCAACATCAAGCGAAACTGCGACGCTATCGCTCGCGAAATCAAACAAATGGGCTTCTCCTCGGTTACTCTACACGGATCCAAAACACAGGACCAGCGTGAAGCCGCGCTGGCCTCGGTGCGCAACGGCTCAACAGACGTTCTCGTCGCAACTGACCTCGCAGGAAGAGGTATCGATGTGCCGGATGTGTCACTGGTCGTTAACTTCAACATGGCCACCTCGATCGAAAGCTACACTCACCGTATTGGTCGTACTGGTCGTGCCGGAAAGAGTGGTGTTGCTATCACATTCCTGGGCAGCGAGGATAGCGATGTCATGTATGTTACACCCATTCCTCTCCCATTTAGACTTTGTCTTCATTTACTAATCCTTCTGCAGGTACGATCTCAAACAGATGCTGATTAAATCACCTATCTCGCGTGTCCCCGAGGAACTGCGCAAGCACGAAGCGGCGCAGTCTAAGCCCTCACGCGGTCCTGGCGGAAAGAAGATCGAGGACAGTTCTGGGTTCGGAGGCAAGGGAGGGTGGGCATAGTCCAGGGAAGGCTTTTGACCTAACCAATCCCACCATTGTATATAGAAGCAGTCCATTTCCTGCCCTCAATCTACCAGAATCAAAAAGCAACTGAACACACCTTTTTTTTCCCCAAAAATCGCCCTCCTACCTTATCCTTACTATTTTTTTTACCACCTTCCTTGCTTCCTTTAGAGGATGCTCAATTATACAACGTGCCACTGAACTACATTCATCACCGCGCTAACGGAGCCGATGACAATATCGTCGACGTGATCTTCCATCGTCTTTCGATCGTCAACAGTAAGACGTATCTACCTCACGCCAGGTCCTCCTTTATCATAAGATACGCCAGACAGTGAATATACTCCTAAACGTATCGCCTACCTTTGCTCAAAGCTCCTATTATAATTCTCTTAGATCTAAATTATCTAATAAAACGTAAGTAACGCTCTCTCGCTTGCTATAGACGCATAGATCGTTATTTTAGAAGCGGAGCCTGTCTTCAATAAACACACAACGTCTTTCACTGTGTTTGACGAGAAGTTGAATAAGTCCGTTTGTTCTTTTCGACCATGCTGTACTCAGATTTCTGAGACAACCAATTACAACCATGTATCATCCACTGGGACCCTATCGAGGATGGATTTGGCCAGCCGGGTATAATGCTACTCCGTTCTAATTATCCATACACGGACAAACTACAACCCCTCCAAGTCGACCAAGAGCAGTTGCGGCAAAATCCCTCCACCCACGAGAAGTGAACACGTCAGACCCGTGCTTCAAACAATTGAACCCAGGCGTCAGCGTTTCCTGGGAGGTGGCCTTACAATCTGTCTACTTCGATTTCTTCCAAGCTGGACAGTTTACAATATCTTCTGGTCAGGCGGGCAAATTCCTTTATGGGACTGGGGCACATTAGCGGAGCATAGTAACCGCAGACTCGGCCCTAAGTCCCCTGCGGTGGTACTACCCGGCGGCCCACGACAGCGACTGGCTATTGCCGCTGAAGAAAGCGATATAGAGGATGTGGGCCTATCGTCGCCTTCACCCGAACCTATTTTGGCACCTGCTAGGATGAGTAGCGCCCCAATCTTTAGCCTTAACGTTGCCGGAACTGCTACGCTATCGATGAAAGATCGCACTCCAGTAGGTAGACTACGTTATCCTATCACAGCCACACTCTCGTATGATACAGCTCCGGATCCCTTTAACGGAGAGCCGGTTATATTTCATACGTTCAAATTCGAAGGTCTTGATCGCCGCCAGGACGGATTCAGGCTCTACTTTAGAGAAGAGGATAAGGACGACTGGAGTCCACATGAACTTGGAGCCCTGTTTACGCACCACCTGTACAGATTTTCTACTACCACTCCGGTAAATGTTGGCCGTGATGACCGGAGTGACTTTGTGGCCCTGATGCCTGGTGAGTCGTGGTCATTTACGCGGGAGGTGAGTGATTTCCGGCAAAATGTAGCGCCCGGTGATAAGTTCCGGTACGGGTTCAAGGGAGCTTCAATTGACTGGTGGGATTGGGGAAATTTTCATGATCATCAAGATACTGTGGTGTGGGTTAATGGCAGGGTCCTTAATCCACAAGATAATGGAGGCCGGCCTAAACTTGTGGTTCCAGCTAGTAACTGGGTCGAGTTTACACTAGTTCCATAAGATCCTTATTGATAAAGCATACGACACAAATATATTGCCAATTTAAAAGAACTAATGATAGCTAGACGTCTCTCCTATGCCGGATGCCCTAAGAGCGGCTCCGTCTCGCTTCCTCGTTGTATAGTGGCTTTGCTCGAAGACGAGCGATGCAAGGCCAATAACAGTAGCACTGCCTGGCCGAGGGCGAAGACAAAGCTATCAATGATGATCCAACCGATAGCCCCGTACCAAACAGACAAGTTGGCCCAATTAAGATCCCGCCGACCGTCCAACTTCTCATATGGAAATGGAAGACTCCATATTCATGTCACCGAGACTAGCGTGAAGACAATAGCTTGCATAGCCAGAGCCTGCAAACTCAGCGCATTTGGAAAAGGTACAGTCAAAATCTCACGAGCTTGACGGTAGATGCCACCTTGCAGAAATAGAGAAAATGAGGTCCACGGAGTGTCGGATGTAGTGCATGTGAGTTGGAGAGCTACATGAGTTGGAGTTTTGGGGGAAACGACTAGAGAAATACAGCGCGACCAGAATTGGGCAAGGCAAATCGGTCAACATTGGCGAAGAGTACATATATCAAGGTGAAACTAGAGGGAGGTTCGAAATCTCCTCTTTGGAGTGCAAGTTGGTTATCCTCTCCCTTCAATATTACCTTGATCGTATTTCTGCTGGGAGCAGCGCTCCAGACTGTAGTCCAACGAACAGGGAGAAATTATACACCAAAATTTCACTCTTCATTGCATGTTGCTGAAGGCATCTGCAAATTCGGTTGTCTTCTATATATTTTTGTTTAATTTGACCTCTTGTCATGCCTCCACGATCCTCGGAAGTTATGCTGTACGAATGCATCATTCGGGATCGACCCGTCATTTGTACTGTTGGAGTGTGCTTGGCCCATGCCAAACCCATCGATCGGCAGTATCAGGATATCCCCCACAAGTCTCGGTTCGGTCAATCCACTTAGATCGCTCAACGACCTAAGGTCCGGCTCATACTGCTGCAATTGTGCGAAGACACCATCCGTCCAAGCAGATGGCCCAGTCAACTTCATAACTTCCGCTGAACTAACATGGAGCTCCGAGAATGTTGTTTCTCGTTCGGCTGTGAACATTTCCAGGGCCGTCACAACCCAATCTACCATGTAGCTGAAAAGAGGATGTCCAGGAGTTGCAGCAATGGTCCACTGGCAAAATTGCATATCGGGATGAACTTCGCCCCAGTTAGATCCATTAAGACGATCAAATTCAACCCCTAAAACAACTCGAGCATCTTTCTGATAGATCTCAGGCACCCACGAATCAATAGGCTTTAGGTTGATAGTATCGATGTCCGAATAGACACCACCTTTGACCGATAAAATCATGTACCTCAGCAGGTCTGCCTTCATTCCGGTGTTTTTGAGCTCTTTGAAGATTCTCAACAAAGTTGCATTCTTCGCAAAGTGCTGGTGCACAAGTGTTTCCGCTCCATCGTCTCCAACCAACGTGTATCCGTAGTCGCGGTTATGAGCCAGCCAAGAAGCGGAATCGGATAGCTGCTTGGAATCGACTTCGAAACTGTTCTTGTTGGCTTTCGGCGGCGTGAGATACACTTGCCATATCTTTCGCGGAAATAGAGAGCGCCAGTCCTGGGTGGCTATTTGTTGATTTGTTTGCTCGTGGATCGTTGGCTCGGTCAGACGGCCAATGTGATAGTAGAAGGTGGAATGAAAAAGGGCGGCTAACATGAACAGAGACACACTTGTCAGAACTGCGATTTTCAGCAACCGGCCCTTGGAATTTGATCGATGCCAAACATTGCCAATGAACGACACAGAAGATTCGAAAAAGTGGGACAACCATCCACCCTGGTTTTTGAACATCTCGAGGGCGTGAATTCGCCGAGAGCAAGGGCGAGAGGTATGTTCAAGGCGTTAAAATTTCTTCCCACCTTGTTAATACTTCTGAGAATAAACTGGGCATGGTCTTTATTTAGGACGAGATGCCCTTCCATTGGTGCTAAAACCTCGGGTAGATCGTAGATCATCAGCACGAGGGTCCTAACAACCGCCTATAGCCCCCACAGTCGGCATTACGAAGCTGCGATAGAAATAGGAAAGAGAGGCTGAGACATTCTCCCAATTAGCCTGTCAGGCGTCGTAGAAACGTCGTAACCTAAGCACCCATATATAACGCCCTGAAACAATCGAGTGGCCTCGTATCCATCGCCCCAACAACTACCCTAAAATAGCTGACCTCGACCCAAAAAAAAAGAAGAAAAAGGATATGAAGAAGAATGTTGGATAGTAGTTATGGTCACTCCCGAGGTACATAGCTATTAATATTACTTGCTCCACTAATGTCTTTGAACCACCAATCAAACCAACGGTAATGGACGCCTGATCGGCAACCGGCAAACGGCATCGGTTTACCGAGATGGGAAGCTTCGATAGGTTGGGAGTGTCGATATACTAAAGCCTATGCCCAGGTGCTAGGTAGACTATCGAGATTCCAAGGTTATCTCTTTGAATAATCTTAGTAAGCTAAGAAGTCTCCAGGGCTCCAGAGAGGCTTTAGAAGGATATCTATCTATATATATGAGAGCGGTCCAGTAACTAACTAGTATGGATATTAGTACGTAAGTCGAAGAGCGGACCTCGGGACCTTCCGAGGTCACCTCGGAAGATAAATCGGAACCGGTGTGGATATCTGTCTAGCTGGCCCTAATCCATACGAGCACTTACTCTACAGGACATTAAAATTGAGTAGAGTATAATTTTAGCTCAAAGCACATCCCGGGTGCTTTTTGTAGATGACATAGAAATAATGTGCAGTCGAAGGAAAATTCGAGCTGCGAGCTCTGAAAGACGAAGAATCCCTGTGTATCTAAGAGACCATGAATATTGTTCAGCCACCTTTTCTAGATTTACAGCTTGCTCTGGAGATAGCTGTTGCTGCTCAGCCACTGCTCAACATCGTCGCGGTCACGCTTGAGCCAGTTTATCTTGGCGCGGATGGCGTCAAGGCTCTGCTCAACGGCACGGTCGAAGCCCTGCAAGATTCGAATTAGTAAATACTACAAAAATATGAATTTTATGTGAAACCTCCATGAGGCCCTTGGCGGAGTCACTAACCTTAGTGTCCTTAGAAGCGAAGAACTGCTCAACATCCTTCAGCTGCGCTTCGGTGCAGAAACTGGCAGTGGTCAGCTGGACAACAGTACCCAGCATGCCGAGACCGGGAGGAAGACGCTTGTAGATTTCATCCCAGTTAGACTTAAGCCAGTTCCAGCGGCCCTCAATACCAGCCGGGTGGCTGCGGAGACCGCCAAGAGGCATATAGATATCCTGGCTCTTGACCTCCTCGCTCATGGCGAGACCAAGAGTGCGCTTGATAAGCTCGGGGTCCTCAGAGGCACCGAGGCAGCGCAGGGCGGTGGTCTTCTCGTCCGAAGTCGGGGCGTGGCGGGAGCGGTCCAGGACCACTTCGTACTCCTTGACACCACCGTGCTTTAGGGCAATGGTGAAAACACTACCACGGATGTTAGGATGAATGGCGGAGAGGTCGCCGGCAGAGAAGCGGGCGAACATGTCCAAGGCAGCCTTGACGACAACCGGGTCCTCGGCCATGCCGGCAGAGCCGAACATGAGGGCCTTGAACTGCTGCAGAATGTGGTCGTCATTCTCGGGGAACTCCCAGCCAATCTCGTGGGCCTTAGGGGCAACCAGCGCGCGTTGGAAGGCCTTGAGGGCGTCCTTGGTCTTGTCGTCCTCGAAGAGCCAAGCAGCACGCAGGGTGCCGATACGGGTCAGGATCTCGTTCCAAACAACGAACTCTGACTCGGTGTCGAGGCCCTGAAGCAAGGAAAGCATACCAGACGTGCGCTGGTAACCAGAAGCTGCCAGGGCACCGGAGTCGGCAATCATGCCGGCACGGTCCTCGACACTCAGGCGACCATCACGGGCAGCCTGGCCGAGCTTCTTAAGACGCTCGGGGCTGTATGATGTGCGGAAGATGGCAGAGTGATCAGCATTGAGCTTGAAGAAGTCCAGGTCAGGAATGGGGAAGTCACGCTCGCGCTCAGTCAGCATAGTGTCTTCATCGATGCCCTTCTCCGTGCGCAGACCGAGCATGACAGGGAAGAGAGTCTGGTCTTCTTCGGGACGAACGTCACCGGTACGCAGGAAACGGTTCTGCTTCACGTGGATAGAAGAACTCTCCTTGTTCTCCGTAACACTGAGGACAGGGAAGCCAACGTTCTTGGTCCAGATATCCATGACCGACTGCACGGGCTTTCCGCTAGCATCAGCAAGAGCAGCCCACAGATCACCGGTCTCCGTGTTACCATAGACGTGCTTCTTGATGTAGTTGCGGACACCCTGGAGGAAGACATCTTCGCCCAGGTACTTGGAGATCATGCGCAGGACAGAGGAACCCTTGGAGTAGGAGATAGCATCGAAGATCTGGTTGATCTCGTCGGCACGCTTGACAGGCACCTCAATGGGGTGACTGCTGCGCAGCGAGTCCAGCGAAAGAGCACTCTGCAAGTTGTCGATAACGTAAGTCTGCCAAACCTTCCACTCGGGGTAGAAGACGTTGCAAGAGTACCAGGACATCCAGGTAGCGAAACCCTCGTTGAGCCACAGTCCATCCCAGAAGTCCATGGTGACCAAGTTTCCGAACCACTGATGGGCCAACTCGTGCTGGACGGTCTCGGCGATGCGCTCCTTTCGGGACGCGCCACTGTTCTTCTCATCCAGCAACACATCGACAATACGGTATGTGATCAGACCCCAGTTCTCCATGGCTCCCGCACTGAAATCGGGCACGGCCACCATGTCCATCTTTGGCAGCGGGAAATCACTGTCAAAGGCTTTCTCGTAGAAGGCCAGAGTCTTGGCAGCAAGCTCCAAGGAAAAACGGCCGTGCTCAATATCCTGGTCGGGTGTGGCGTACACACGGATGGGAACCCGGAAGTTCTTTGTCTCGATGTAGTTGAGGTTTCCGACAATGAAAGCAACCAGATAGGTGGACATGAGGGGCGAAGTGGTGAATTTCACAGCCTTCTTCGCACCACCCTGGATCTCAGTCTCAGTATCAACATCCATATTGCTCAGACAGGTCATGCTCTTATCTGCAACCAAGGTCACAGTGAACTTGGCCTTGAGAGCAGGCTCGTCGAAACAAGGGAAGGCCCGACGGGCATCCGTGGGCTCCATTTGAGATGATGCAATGTACTTAGTCTCGCCATTCTCCTTGTATGAGGATCGGTAGAATCCGGCCATGTTATCATTGAGAATACCAGTAAAGGTGAGCTTCAACTGAGAATCCGATCCCGCGGCGATAGCCTGGCCGAACTTGATGGTTGCGGTCTGGTCATCCTTGTTGAGGGAAATCTCGGGCTTGGAGTCCACGACCGAACCCTTAGCTGAAACAGTTGCGCTGTGGATTTCGATCTCGTTGGAATTGAGGGTGATGAAATCGGTGTCTTCGGTCACATCGAGGCTAGATGTAGATGTTAGTGACTGATCTATGCACTATGCACAAATGACATACTCGATGGTGACTGTTCCCTCATATGTGAACTTCTCAAAGTTGGGCTCCAGTGTCAAATCGTAATGCTGGGGCTTGACATTTGTAGGTAGGACCTCACGGCCCTGGACGTTGGTTGACCCGGAGGTGTCGCGGCGTGAGTTACACATTCTGCGGTACGAACAGTATCGTTTGGAGGTCTGTGATAGCGGAGAAGGAGAGCGGCGTTGAGTAATTGATCTAGGAACTGAAGCTTGAGAGCGAGCGGAAACAAAGAGGGGGAGGGGGGATCTGGCGGAAAGAAGCGGTGGCTTTGCTTGCTGCAGAAGCACACGCGTGGAGAAGCGGCGCATCAGCTCCACGAACCCGAATACCGGGAGAAAAGGGAAAGAAAAAGAGAAAAGGAAAATAAAGAGGTATTAGTATTAAATAATTAAATAGAACCAAATGCGAGAACAATTGAACCACGGTCTCGACAGCAACGGTCAGAAAGGAAAAACATGAGATCAGAGTCCGGCAGATGGGAAGGCGGTGGCTGTCAGTGGATCTCCTGCTTTTTGTCCTTTTTCTTTTTCTTCTTCTTTTTCTTTTCTTCAACACGCAAGTTCACCCAGTGAATGTCTAATTTCTATATGACAGGCAACTGATTGGAAATGGCTTTTATGCTTATCTTGCAAGACAATATACCAGCAAGTTTGAGGGGCTCATGACAGTTTCAATCGATTCTCTTGGGTGGGCTACCATAGAAGACTGGAACATACAGCACCGCGGTTCATTGCTCTGATGTCACAGCATGACAGGGCACTTCGTAATGAGGTCTCTTTAATGAGGAATGATTCTATTCTATTCCGCTATTACCTATTACTAGTAGCATCTGGTGGGAATTGCTTGCAAGTCACCATGACAAAATCTATCTTAGTACATTAAACGATCCGAAATCAAGCAAATCCGATTATTATTTCACACCCCAATGTCTCTAAGAATGGACTGCCTGAGCCTGCGGCAGTTTCGTAAAAACACTGCGAGACCATCCATCGGCATCCACGACAGACTCCTTCACAAGCACATACCCACCAATCCGAGGCATCAACACCGCCCAGACAACGTAGTAGATTCCTCCTGCTGCGAAAAGCGCCAGGGCTACCACACAGTGCAGGTAGTACGGTAGCTGTTCGTACACATTCTGACCATCGCTGGGCGGCACATATGGCGCAATTGCGAGGTACAGGTTGGACAGCATGAAGAAGATGGTGACGGGTAGCGTGGCACGGACTCCGGGCTTCCAATTTGGGTAATTTTTCTCTCTGGTGAGGTAGATATGAACGAGGCCAGCGGCCACGAAGAAGTTGACGATTGCGAGGGGGTAAGAAATGAGGCTGGGACAATTTGTCAGTAATGATCTTGTGGGTGTCCTGGAAATCACATACTTGAGGAGGAAGTTGTATGCATCACCCGGGGGAGGGGCGAGCATAATAACCACCGAGACGATATAGTGCTCAAGCAGGCCGGCGGCCGGCGAGTGGAAAGGCCAGTTGCTGGCCCAGATCTTGGAAAAGGGCAAGACACCTTCACGTCCGAGCTCTTGAACGACTATGTCGAGATCCGTATTAGTATACTGTTCAAACGTGACGTGCAAGTGAGAATACATACTTCGCCCTTGTGAGAAGATGACGGATAACACATTTCCAAATGCAGAGAGAGCCACAAAGACCGACATGACTTTTTCGGCCTGTTTGCCGAACATGTTCCTGAAGAACACGGCGGCCACAATGCTGCCAGACTCGAGCATTTCTTCTTTCGATACGGCGGCGAAATAGGCGATGTTGACAAACATATACAAAACGCCAACAGCAATGATAGCAACGGGGGCTGCAATCTTTAACGTGCGGGCTGGGTTCTTTGTCTCGCTCAAGGCCTGTGAATGTAATTAGCAATATGATCAGACACAACTCATATGTTCATGTCCTTACATAGTTGGCATTCGAATAGCCAATAAATGACCAGATAACGTTGTACAACGCCATGACAATTCCATATCCGCTTCCCTTGGTGCCTTCGAAGGCATTGGTGAAGTTATGCGGCGTCTCAGTCTTCGTATGGCCACCGAGTGCCACCCAACCAGCGACAATGATGAACAAAACGATAATCAACTTGATAATACCAAGCACGTTCTGAAGACGAATACCCCATTTCAAGGCAACGGAGTGGATAAGAAAGGCGGCAGTAAGACAGGCCATACCAATTCCACGCTGATTCCATCGTCCGACCTCAATATCTGCTGCGTTGAGGATATATTGACCGAAGACGACGCTGTTACTTGCTGCCCATCCGAGTAACACAGCATAGGCGGCAAACATGGCAGTGGCCAGGAACTTAGGCTTTGTATAAACATATTCGAGGTAGTTCTTCTCGCCTCCGTTTCTACACAGATCCAGGTTAATCAGTCATGCATTATACTTTCGTTTGTTCAATCACATACCTTGGAATTGCAGTACCCCATTCTAGATAAACTGCCGTCCCAGCCAGAGCAATTACAGTGCCGATAACCCACATAAATAATGAGAGACCGACACTGCCGGTCAATGCAAGGATAGTGCTCGGTGTGGCAAAGATACCCGTGCCAATAACCCGATTAAAAATTAGAAGGGCAGCGCTGAAAATTCCAATCTGCCGACGATCGTCGGGGGTTGCCTCAAAGACATTTCCTTCATCTGGAAGTGGAACGATTAGTGTCACCCATCACTCGATCCTCGTAAGGGAAAACATACATAATCCCGAAATACCATCTGCTCGCCGGAGGCCGTCACCCCCCGCTGGCTTTGTATCAAATACCGGCGACTTATTAGAAGCCTCGACAACAGGATCAACCCGTTCAGCCATTGTGTTATACAGATCGAGTCACTACCCTCAGGGTGACAACGATCGACGAGTATTTGTATTCAGCTGAGCTTTGACAAGGCCAAATTCAACACGGCTAGCAACGGGGGGGGAAGAATGAGGTGCTCACACTAAATTTGATGCCATAGGGTCATGGCGGCTGGGCAGTGTCTTATACTACCTTGGAATCAAATTGCACCTACACAGATGGAGGCAAAGGTCCAGAGTTTGTGGGTTTTTTCTCCCGTAGAATCCCCGGGCCCACATGGAAAAATTCCAGAAGCCTTGGGAGGCGACTACATGGCGAACCGGGCCCGAACATAATTTCTAAGGTTACATTACATAGTTAGCGAATCGCATTCGTCTTGGGAAGGAATAACAACGCATGATTTATGTCGTCTGTCTTGACCATCATGGCGCAATATGAGAAAAAGGAAAAAGCCTCGGAGACCGATGGTGTGGCCAGTGGGTTGCCGAGATTTCATGTATGGGGCCGGGCCGTGACAAAACTACAAAGTACAACACGGTCCGATTATTCTGTTGGAAATGGAAGATTTAGAAGCATATACTACATAAAGGTTCAATAGTCTAGCTTAAGAGCATCAAGGAAATCATCTAGCAAATAATCCTGAATATGCAACATACTATAAAAAGCCAAACAGTTAAAAAGAAGACACTTTAAAATATGAAACTTATGACACATAACCTTGGCAAGTTCAAGCACGCCATTTTAGGGTTTGACGGATCTTTGCCTTAGTCAACTTAGCCCAGACGTCCACGGATACTACCCTACCTAGGTAACTAACTAGTTGCAATATATATGGCTTGTTTATACGTACATTGTAGGTCAAATGGTTCAATTTCTCTATGTACAATACATCTGGTATCTGCAAATCCAATCTGGGAGCCAACACCGTGACCTTCTTCCCAGCCCAAAAACAAGTTCAGTGCCAATCTGTATGGGTCCCCGGTTCGAACGCCAATCCAGAAAAGAGAAAAAAGAGTAGAGATAAAAAAAGGCAGTAAGACATGACATGACAAGAAATAACATAAATAAGAACTCCCCTGGTCTCGTGCTGTGGGATATATGGCAAAACGTGAACTGGAAAAAGAAAAATAGACAAATATGGACGAAGAAATTAGTAGCTCCGTAGAGACGTAAATGGCAGATAAATGGCAAAACGTAAGAACGTGGCCCTGGAGCTAGCCAGAGCTAGCCAGAGGTTACCTTATATAAAAGGGTGGGGAAAAGGGTGTCAATTGTTAGCGTCGTGAATTAAACCTTATACATATAAGGCTATAATCATGACGCTACTGAGTTGAACAATATCGTAGTAATCCCGATAGACTAGGTGTCCGGAAACAAAGTGCTCATCTAGGTGGTGTCACCCCCGTGGCATATGCAACTGGAGAAATGTTGGAGGTAGGTGTCTTGCCCGCACTGCCCACCGTTGGAGTCGGCACTGAGGATCGCTTGGCTAGGACAGCTACCTTCTTCCGGACAGACGCAAGGCGGCCACGCATACTGGATACAACTGGATCGAGGTGTGAGTTTGGGATGTGTTGGATGGGTGGATTTAGATAACACTCACGTTTGACAACGACCTGCCGGTCCTCCACCTGCAGCTCGTCCAGAATGACCTTCTCACCAGCTTGCGAACTGCTTTGCCGTTCGATGTTGCTCCCTGGCATGGATCGCATTCCGTCATCCTCAAGCACAGCTTCGAGCATGCGAATCGCAGTCACATATGTAATCTCACAGTTGGCAAGATCTTCACCCGTCAATTCATTAATGGCAGCCGCCCGGCTCATCTCAAGTGCCCGGTCGTACATCAGCCTCTCTGCTGTGACGCCGGGGCTCACCACGACGTCGGCGGTGGAGCTTGAGCCGGCAGTGGAGCCAATAGAATGGTTATCCGGATGACTAGGGTGATCTGGTGGTAGTCGCCGTTGCCCCTCGATGAGTTTTAGGCGCACGAATTCGGCTTTTTCGATGACCTCATTGAACCGACTGCGCACCCATTGCACGACATAGTTAATCCGGGTGCCGGCAACTGCGCCCATGCTGTCTTTGGTAGGAGACTCCCCATAAACCTCATCCCGGTTCTTGCGCGACCACCAAGCTCCAGCAATGTCCATTGACTTTGCAAGTAAAGATAAAGCCTTGACATATAATACCAAAGCTTCCTCAGACAAGGTAACAATAGCATCGACTGTCAGGCCATCGTCGGAATCGGCAGAGTCTGGTTCAATGTTTGGGTCCATCGGTCTCGCAGATGGATCAGTCGGTGCCGAAGGTGCTAGCGGGATAAGTTGCTTATACTTGACCTCAGCAAATCCAAAGACAACGTCACTACGCGTAGCACATTCCTCGATTTCCTGGACTGCCTTGCAATCTTCGTCACCAGTTGCATTGGGTTTGGAGCCGTCTCCGGTGATCAAAAGACTAGCATGTACAGGAGGATAGGCGGGGAAAGGGTTGTAAGCTAGTGGCGGAGATCGCCCACCTTTGGTGATGGCAAGGGGAGGAGAGAAGCCCATTCCGAACAAACGACCGCTGGCCATGTTGAGTGCTTTCGAGATTGCCGAGGTCGCCGACGTGGGACTTTGCCCGTAACGTCGCTCGTAGGAATGCTGGCGCTGCTGTGTGGAATCCGCCCGCGCACGACCCGAAACGACCTGCATGGCTTTGGCCGCGTTGGCATGCGGAGAAGATGGTGACACTGTAGGTAGACCCTGCGATGGTGCCCGGCGGCTTCCGGCGCCAGTTTGTCCGGGTCGAGAAAGCCCGCCTTGAAGGCGTGGGCTATGAGCTAGTTCATCTGCAAAGGCGTTGACCTCCACGGCCCGTTTTTCAACCACAACATAGTCTCTCTCAAATGCCACTTCTTGTGCAGCGCGATCCCGCGCCTCCTGGGCACGGACCGTTGAGTCACTTGCTTTGGGGGACCCACTGTAGGTATTCCGATGTCTCTGTCGATCCATGGCCGCGGTAGTTGCGTTGCGATCGACGAGCTCCTGGCGTCCCGGGGCAGTGGCAAGGCTGACAGGACCAGGCCGTTGAGGCGGCGTGCCTCCCGATTGTTGCTCTTTGGAAATAGCTGGAGCAGGCCGGTCAGCGCTTCCCATACGGCGCATATGCGTAGCAGTCGGCGGCGTTCCTGATTTTGGACGCGTTACGACAGGTCTTTGGCCGGGAGGATATGCAGGTTTGTCCTCAGGCCCAGTATCATAAGGGGATTCTTCGGCCTTTGCGACAAGCTGCCTCGGCCGTGGCGACTGCGGTGGCCCTGGAGCGTCGTCGGCCAGCAGGCCAGGAATCGGCTCATTTATCACAATGTTGTTGAAGAACTCGGGGAAGTTCAATCGCTCCACTGGATTCCGTTTCAGAAGACCTCGAATTAGCCTTTTGATGTCGCCTGAGGCGGGGTTATCTTCAGGAAAGCGGATTCGGTCTTCTCCCTTCTCAATCCTTCGCAGCAACTCTACATGATTTGTGGCCCGGAACGGGGGTCGGCCCACCACCATCTCGTAGAGCACAGTACCTACCGACCACAAGTCGGCCTTGGCATCATACTTCTCATACCGAAGAATCTCAGGTGCCATGTACAGCGGAGATCCACAAAGGGTCTCTGCAAGTGAAGTGGCGGGTAGAGATCGGGCGAAGCCGAAATCTGCGATTTTGAGCATAGGGAGGGACTCGAGCCCCGTCGTGGGCTCGTAAGAGTCATCACTGCCTTTATAAGGCATCACCTGAGCATTCCCACTCCGATACGACGAAGGAGAAGGACACAACAAGAGGTTCTGTGGTTTGATATCTCGATGAATGAGGTTTCGGTCACGAAGGAATTTCAGTGCGCTTGAGAGTTGTTTGAGGAAGTGGCGAGTAACCACCTCATTGAGTGAGGCGCCGGGTGGATTTGGATATTTTGCAATCATATCCCGAGTGTACTTATGTGATCCAAGAGTATCCCGACGCTTGATGAACAACGACAGATCCCCCAGCGCACAGTATTCCATAACCAAGTGAATGTGAGAAGTGGATTCATGGCAGTCGATCAGGGCCACGATATGTGGGTGCTGAAGGCCCTTGAGGATATCGATCTCGGACGAAAGGTTTTCTTTGAGCTTTTTGTTAAGTTTCGACAAGTTCACGGACTTGATTGCTACAAAGGTTTTCGATTTCTGTGTGATACGAATAGATTAGCATCCATCACTCGACATACTAAAAGACAAGGATCGACTTACTGTATGGACACCTTGATAGACCGTCGCGAAACTACCTCGCCCGATCTCATCGAGCCGCGTATAGCGACCGATGGACATTTCTGGGCGAGGGGGCTCGCGTGATCTCCTCGAATGTTGAGACGCCATAACGGCGGTTCGGCACGCCAATGCCTGTTCCGTCTCTGGTAGACTCGCACTGGGGGAAATAAGGATCGAGTCACTCCCCAGCAACCACAACTACCTCAGCAGCAGCAATGAAAACGGTCGACTCGAGAGGCCCATCAGGGGAGCTATGGGAAGGATGACGCTGCCTCCGGGAAGCCTGGAAGGACGAGGAACCGCCGGGAGAATGGGTCTGGGAAGGTACTGCAAATGGGTGCCGTGGAACGAGACCGGTGAACTCGGGTAGATTATAAGAGATGATGTCGATGTAGGTGATGTACTTCCAGGAAGCAAACAAAAGTTGATCCAAAACACTTAAAGCGGTGAGAGGTATGATGCAGAATAGCCAAAATGGCGTGGGGTTTGAAGATTCGAGTACAATATGGAGAGAACCAAAGATCTAGGGAGGCAAATGACAGTCCTCACGAAAGAGCGAGATGATGTGATGGGGGAAGCGGGAAGAGGACCCCAAGACCCAAGGATACTCCACGATTGGGGGGTGTGACCCAACGATAACGAGTGACAAGCGGCGATGATCGCGTAAGGCGGTCAGAAGGGTGGAGATAATCTATAGTTCTGATAAGATGAAAACGTATGAAGAAGTCTAAAGAAAA